TTATCTGTATCGGTAAGAGTCTTTCTCGCATGCATATAGATATATGCAAGTGCTCCCCTTTAAGCGAATCATGCTACTCTATACCTCGTACTCCGTACTCCATGCATAAACTCGTAATCTGTCTCGGCTCGGAGCGCCTGTCAAAGCGGCTGTGATAATGGTAGCATTCTGGAATTGTCTCTGCGTTTGGACTATTGTCTTGGTCGGGACGGCACCTGGGCAGGAGGGTTTCATCATGTCAATGTCTGTCATTCGGCACGAATGCATCGGCCCCAATGGGTTTCAAAATACAAGGGCGATCTGCAATTGAATATACTACATCATTACGGAGTACTCCGTACGAGGACTCCATAGTTATCAAGAATCTATTTCGGAATAACCATGTATCATACTCCGTACATTACAACAAGGATAAGTGCATATCAAAAGAGCCGTTAGAACTGGCCCGGTCTGGAATTCCTAGATCCTGTACCACGTAATGAACTAAATCTGCAGGCCCCCAAATGCAGTACGAAGGAGCTTTCTCAATTTTGGGTTTATGAGTTGGGATAAATCACCGAACAGGTCTACAATGTGGCAGACCAGGGAGGGGTGATGGTACGATATTAGGTTCAAACTGACAGGGAATCAGATAACTGTTGACGGAATAATACCGAGGAATAACTCCTCGATTGAGCTGACGTGACTTTCAACATTTGCCTAGGTGGGACATTGTGTTTCGTATGTGTACTCCGTACTCCGTACTTTGGACATTCTCGAGACCATTCCCAAGACCATTCTCCATAAATCTGTAAATCGTGCCTTACAAGACGAAATGGAAAAAAGTATGCATGATTTATCCGCCATAATAAGCAAATCAGAAGATCATCCGAGTTCCCGCAATAGACAGGATGGCCAAGGATTCAGCGAAAACGAGGATTTGCAGATCAAAATTTTATCATAGAACTGTACGCGCATTGGATGAACAGCCGGCAGTTGGGGATTGCTGCCAGAAACCGTCTAGCTGCTCATTCGAGACATTGCTGATTGGCTTAGTGGAGTCAGCCAAGCCAGGTTGTGAGAGGGAATCGGTAGTTCGATGGAGTTCAGCTCGATTGTCTTTTGGCGATTAACAATCAATGTCTAAATTGGTCGATGTTCTCAGGGGGACTAGACCTGTAATGGGAATACGCGGTATTTGAAATCCCTCAGTGCAATCTATTCTCATCAATCAATATTGATCCTGGAACTCTTAAAACCGCCATATTTGTCTGAACAAGCTCATCCATAGAATTATGTAGACTACAATATAAGCATAGGACGTTATGGAGACCAGGGAAAATAAAGAGACTCCGATCCGTTGGACTGGGTTGCGGCCGGAACCTTGGAACGGAATATAGACGCCGGGTAACGTGGAGAGGTCGTTCCATGGAAAATAAATCGAGAAATAAATAGTTTACCAGTCATTTTGCCCTTTTTGGGACCAAATTCGATGATTATTAATTACCTGGAAGTATTATTCAAAGCCCTAAAGACACGACTTTCGTAGATTTGAATGTAACACACCTATATGACATGCTTAGAGTCTATATCTATTTGGTGTCTGTTTTTTCTTCCAAAATAATAGGGATTTGTCGAGAACAATAGAAACTAGAAAAAAAAAATAAGGGAACCATACGGGGTTTACGGGGACCACTGCGGATCGAACAGGTACTTCTGTTGATACTGAGAGGGCCCAGGGCTCGGGGTCTTGTTAGTGTCACCAATTCCCACTCTGCCCCCTCTCTTCTCCTCTACTCTTCCATCACTTGTTTACTTGAAGTGCATTTTCCCGAGTTCATCGGGGACTAGTTTTTGTTCTGTTCCTGTATGTGGGGGGGTTTATCTGCTTGACTGCAACCTCGGAAGTCTTTCCAACAGCTCATGTGAGGCCAGGAACTGGGGGAAGAAAAAGGCGATATCCCACCATAAATCAGCTCGCCCAAGGCCCCATTGATTACGGATTGTATGTTGCGCTCCGTGGAAAAATTGACATAGGACAAACCCCCAACCATGCGATCGACATTTGCTGATATTGCGACCGGCAGAATATCTAGCAATAATAATATCAATCCGCAAAAATGGCCAACAGACCACCCATCATGCCACCTCATAATGAGACGGAGCACTCAGTTACCCGGATCACTCGGGAGGGCAAACAGCTTACATACAAATTGAGCGTGATGCAACAACCAGAGCGGGCAAGAGCATGCGGCGCAGGAGCAAAGTGTCAGTATTTGCCGTTGAGCCTGATCAGGGCCGCGCGTTGACTGACCATCCTAAATAGCATCAGCCGACCGTCGCCCTGTTGACCCACCGCCTGTGGTTGAGCTACGCATCTTCGAGTCCGACCCGGCTAACGATGCGCAAAAGACCGATATCACCTTCGCCTACAATGCCAATTTCTTCCTCTACGCAACCCTTGACACCGCACGTCCTATGGCCCACGGGCGAGTGGGTGGACCACAGTCGTGCCCTGTATTGACTGGTGTGCCAGTCGCCGGGGTCGCATATCTCGACCGCCCCTCACAAGCAGGCTATTTCATCTTCCCAGACCTGTCAGTGCGCCATGAGGGCAGGTACCGCCTAAGCTTCCACCTGTACGAAGAAATCAAGGACCCCAAGGATACCGACAAGGATTCCGCCTTGCCTCTTCCCAACCAAATACCTCTTTCCGCTGCAGCAAAGCCGGGCACCCCGCACGCGTTTCTTCATTTCCGTCTCGAGGTCAAGTCGGTACCATTTACCGTTTATAGCGCTAAGAAGTTCCCCGGCCTAGCGACCAGCACATCTCTGAGCCGTATCATTGCGGAACAGGGTTGCCGTGTTCGCATTCGTCGTGATGTTCGAATGAGGCGCCGGGGCGACAAGCGAGATGAGGACTATGAATTCGGCGAGGAACGCGCAGCGGCGTATGCAAGATCGTCGGATCGTTTCGCGACACCCGACAGATACGCAGCTTCGATAGATCGCCCCAGGTCAAACAGCAATGGCAGCAATATCGAATCGCCCTACGGGTTTGTTCCTCCAGATCGACGACCATCTGCACCCGACTATGGCTTCCAGTGCCCGCAACCCTACCAAAGACCCATGCCACCTGCACCCCCTATGACACACTCTCAAACACCCTCATACCAATCACACCTTTCATTTGGCTCCACGCCTTCGCATTATCCGGCTCCTCACATGCCTCCTACACCCCCACCAGTGGTATCGCAAGGTATCTACTCCCCACAGAACGCATATGCCCAGATAAGACACCCATCCAATGCATCCGAATACGAAGGAACGCCCATTGCGTATCCGGCACCTCAAATACCCTCGGAACGAGGAGCTTACTCCATGTCAGGTATGAATTCCTATGGCATGGAGCCACCGAAAGCGACCTCATACATGGATCCCCGCATGGCTGAACCAGCTTTATACCAATACATGTCCCATATTCCGGTGTCACATCCTCAAACACCGACCTTGGTCCAGGCCACCCCGTCTCTCAAGCCCTTGCCAAATGAATATGCAAACCACATTGTTCCTTCTGTGGAAAGCACTTCACCCGGCGGCAGCGGCGGTGGGTACGACAACGTTAGGGGGAAGCGTATGGTGTACCAAACTGGGCCAACTTACGGCAAAAGGAGCCATGAAGATACTTTCGGCCTTGATGACCGATCAATGCAGAACGGCATGCGGCCTGACACCGAGCCTTATCCGGGTTATCGCGATTTCTCAGGAGAAAGTCGCGCTGCACTTATGGCGGAAATGGGCATTGAGTTGGCGTACAAGCGTGCCAACGGCAAAATGGTCATGAAAGCTCCTCCATCGAGTTAATAAGATCTAAAATGAGTTCAAAATATCTTGCCATATTGGCTGAACACGATATACTTTCCTTGGGCTTGCCTCGACGAGTCTTGAACCCGTCAATGGGTCCGATTGCATTTTTTTTTGTATATAACTTATCTTCTGGTTCCTCATTGAGGCTATTCGAGCCCTAGATTTATTTATGCATTTGGACTCATCTCTTGGGGAACTGGTTTCCTCTTTTATGTTCCACTATTTTGCGAGACATTTGTTTGGCCAAAATTCGGAGTTGCATAGGAAGGGCAGTTGGCTCTTCTTACTCTCAGCGTCAATGATCATTCGCGAATTACCTCACACTATATCATCAAGAGCAACGCGCCTCGTTCCTTTCATCCGATGGGATCGGAACAGGGAATGTCACCCTTTATCTCACTGTAGCTGGGATTTTCTTCAAGATTGCTCTTGGAACATACTCTTTCCGAACAGACAAGGGCTGGTCTCATGGGTTTTATACTTTACACCTGGTGAATCTACTCTTTATACTGGCATTGTAGCATCTCCTTATACCTACATTTAGCATTCCGACGTTCTTTTTACTTCAATCTACGGATTGCACCAATTCATCAGAATGCATGTGTATCCATATTTTAGCAAGTGTTATCTGTCCTAACTATACATATCTCTAAGTGACATATCATATCTACATTCCTATCGAACATACACATGTCTGAGACACGCGGAATTCTACATAGCATCGAGTTTATACAGATATACATATTTGTAGTGTTTGTTTTGGGGATATGGGACATTCTTGAAGTACTGGGTACTTTGTGGATTGCGATAGATTAGGGGTAGACATAGGTACCAGGTACCACAACAAACCTCCCCCTTGGCAAGTGCGGAGTATGTAAACAAACCGGCGCATCACCTTTGCTCGAGTCTCCCGAGGTTTTCATTTCAATCCTCATTTCTTATCTTTATTTCTTCCCTCTCAGCACTCGACTCCATTTCTATGCCAACTTCTGACAGACTTTTGCGACATCTTTCCAAGGGCGTGGGGAAAAAGGATAACGCAAGCTGCAAAGGTAAGGTCCCTTCTCATAATCCAACTTAAAGGAAGCTCAAAGCCCGCATAAGAAAGACCGAATCTAACCTCCCTGCGTCATTTCAGCGCCCGTGACTCCAAAATGGAAATGGAGATAGACACTGATCCAAGCCCCGCACACCAGCGCTCCTCCCGCAAGCACCTACGATCCAGCGACGATGATGACTCAGATTGGAGCTCAGATATCTCTGGACAATTCGACGATGCCGAAGAGGCGCAAGCAGACGCAGACGGTCACCGATCGCCGGCAGCGAAGCTGAGCAAACGACGTCGCTCGAACGACTGGCCGTTGCCCGAAGAAGCCGCTGATTACGGATCCCATGAGCGCCGCACCCAACGCGGTGAAAACGGGAGTCTCAACGTGAGCGCGAATGGCGCAGGCTACAAGGTTTCGCCCCGCGCTTCACCTCGTGGCTCGCTGGCTTCGCTGCGCGCTCGTCATGCCGCGGCATCTGCTTCCGGCCCGCGCCGTCCCAGAGGACGGACATCGCGATTCATCGAAGCGACTATGAGTGATAGTGTCAGCGAAAAGCCGCCCAGTATCTACCTCCAGGAAAACAAACAGGCTGGCATTCAGCACCGCTCATCTGGGATTTTTCGTTTTGGGAAGGCTATTGCCTCGGCATTTAATCCCTTCGGTGGATGGGGCAGAAACTCTGAGGGATCGCCGAATAAGTCGCCGCAGAAGGATGTCATCAGTCAGGCGGAGAAGGCCTATGCGGAATTAAAGGAGGCTGGCTACCAGGGAACCAATAAGGGTCATTACACTGAGGATCTTGGTGTCAACACTGCTCTCGCCGACCAGACTTGGCGGTCGATCCAGCACAAGATGGAATACAGCTCTCCAGTCAAAGACCCGTATCACCACGCAATTGAAGAAAACCGTGGTGCGCCATCACGTTCTGAGTCTTCAGCTTCCAAACGCTCCTCCCTTCATGATCTTCGCCTGACGAAGTCATTCTTCAAATCCCCATCTGCTTCCCCGGCAGTGTATTGCGATAGAACTTCCGATGAATACGAGCCGACTGGACTGCGCAAGCAACCCTCCCGCAGGGAACTCTCGCGCCAAACCAAGCTGCTCAAGAAAGTTAGCAACCTCGAGGAGAAGCTGCAACGTGCCCGGCGGGAGCTTCGTGAACTCACAGGCAACGAGGAGCGGGCCCCAGTACCTACAGCCCAAGCAAATATTCTCAATGCCGAGATGGATCCCGCATTGTTCCCAAGGAAGTTCGTCCCTGGTGCCCTTCCCTCTCTACCGTCTGAAAGGCTTCTGGATCAACAAGCCGCAGAAAACAAGGCGTCTGGATCTGAAGCGGCCAATCTGACGGCCCTGTCATCCATTGAAGACCGTGAAAATTTCTCCTTCGAAGAACCAAGACCCCCTCAAACCCCGGCTAAAGCTCAAAGTCCAAAATGGCGCTCAAAAGGGACACAGCCGGCGTCAATGGGTAAGGACCGCTCCCGTAAACGGAAGTCTTCCATTCCTGAATCTATCGATAGTGGGAGCCCTCCTCAGCCCTGTCCGAAGAAGGGCATCGACGACCCCGATCTCGCCATGCTGATTGACTCCGGTCTACTGAGTCCATCCGGAAAACCGAAATGGCCGAAATCCGAGGCCGGCGAGAGCCCTGGATCGGCCAAGCGCAAGCAAGCCATCAACCACGCAGCCCCCTCAACCGAAACCGAAGAAAGTAATGCAGGAGGAAATACAAGTGCCACGAGCAACATCAAAAGGTCTCCCTACGTTCAACCCCGAAAAGTCCCCGGAACCACCCGCTCACCAAGTTCCAAGCCCACAACCCCTATCCGCATGAAGAAGAGTCAGCCCAGTCTGCGCCCGGTATCTTCGCCTGCCGCTGTCTCGGACGACGATTCCCGCTCCACCATCTGGTCTACACCTCTTCCTGCTCCGCCAAGTGACTCCCACCGCGAAGCCTTCTATCACCACTCACAACGCCAGCTCAACCCTGATCGTAGCCCTCACACCCCGACGCGGTCGAAGACAAGTCCTAGTCGGAGACGATCTGGATATCTCCGTGACGACGATATTCCGCCCGTACCGCCCCTCCCTGAAGCACTTCGCTCGAGTGCTGCCAAAGTCAAAGTCAAAGTGAATAGGCCAGCCAAAAAGAGACCTGTGTCTGCCCCTGTGTTTTCTACGTCACCTTCTACTGTGGATTCTATGATTTCTGGCCTTGAAGATTACCAATGGCCTGACGATATCTTCTAAGGGCTTTGGGTTCCATTTATCTTCTTATGAGGAACGATGCTTATGAGGTTTCTTATGTTGAGTAATTGGTCTTTATAATTGTGGGAGTGTGTGTATCTCATTGGGTTTCTTTCTGGTTGATGATTCTGGTTTCTCGCACTATTGGTCGTCGTGATGTAACGAAGTAATGAATGTTTATACCCTAGTTCCTTGGTTTGTTTAATCTTTCAAAGCTGTCCTGTTCACCCCCGCCGTATACCACGAAGCTCATTATAATCCCCTCAATCTTGATGCAACGCAGTATCCTTAGGCAAGATTAACCAGCTCACACCAGCGGCACCTAGCAACCCAACAAGCATAGGCTGCAGGACCTGGACACCAACCTGTCCCGCGATAATTCCCGTCAAAGCGGGAAAGACCGATCCACCGATTTGACCGAGTACGAAGACGAATGCTTAATGGATTATTAGTAAACCCCCGCGAATAATGGGCAAGGCTGTTAGCTTACCGATTGCCGAAGAGCGGATCTGTGGCGAGAAGATCTTTGAGCCGACCGATATACCCTAAGCTAAATGTTAGGGTGGGATCAGGAAAATACAGTGACAAACACTTACTGTTGCGAAGAAAGGACCAGAGAAGAATCCCAATAGACTGACAGCTACTGCCTCGGTGATGATATTCGGGACGCTGGTAAACAACTAGTATTAGTATAGACAACGCAGGATATATCGGGGCTGGTAGAGATATATCATGGAGGCAGTGTCAAACTCACAGCCAGAATACCAACTGCAAACCCACACACAGCAAAGCGTAAAAAAAGATCATTCGTCGTTCGCCGAGTCTATGCGTAGGTTCAGCGAGGATAAGACGTCCTAGAAAGGCGCCGCCGTAGAAGCCGGCTGGGATATAACCTATCGCTTTGACGTCGCCGTTGCGAACGTTGACAAGGTACTCGACCATCCAGCCTGATACAATTAGTTTTACAGAACGCAGAACACGCAGAGAAGCAAGCAAGAGAAGACAAACCTCCAGCGGTGATAGTAGCCCCAAGAAAGAAAAAAAAAGAACAAACTCAGCAGCCAAACCCCAGGGGTAGAAAGCGTATCCTTGATCTCCTTGAGCGCAGAATTCGAAGCAATTCTACCTCCCCGCTCACTCCTCAAGACAGTCGGCGTAGCCATACGATCCCGGAACGAAACACCCACAAACGCAAGATTCACCACACCCACGCCAAGCGGGAAAAGATAGAACAGATACCACTTCGAATCGACATTCGCGGACGCCACGCCCGTCGCTACGAAAGGGCCAACCAAACACCCGGCCATGTACATAGCGTGGATAAAGCCGAGCCAACGGTGCGCGCCGCTCAACGCCGAGACGAAGGTGTTAGCGTGGGTGTCGTTGTAGGCTTGACCCAAGCTGGCGAGGAAGAATGTTACCACGTACAGTGCGAATGGGGGTTCCCAGATGCGCAGGACTTGGGCCAGGACTTGGATGGCGGCGCCTAGGCTGAGAATTGGGCCTAGGTCTAGGTATTGGGTTATTTTGCCGTTGGTTAGGGCGGCGACTAGCCAGCCGAAGAAGGTTGTGCCGTATCTGGATATGTTAGTGTTGTATTGCAGATGGATATCCTTGGTCTGCGCTTAGTACTTACAGGATGGCTACCATGTTTGTTCCGATATCGTAGGTGCGTATCACGTAGGGAATGATCGATCCTAGACTTCCGTCGTTGACCCCCGCGACGAAGAAGGATAATCCCGCGCTGAGGATTTTGGCATACATCCATTTTGATTCGGGGGATCTTGAGTCTTGGAATGTTTCATTCTCGGCTGGGATTGCTTCGGTGGAAGCTCTTGTCTGTAGCACGATTGTCTCTATTTGCGTCTGGGTGCTCATGGTGGAATGGATAATCTGTTGCCTTGCGAAAGACCGGAAGATGAAATTTCACCTTTGAAGGAAACAAGAAACGACAACCCCGGATTCCGCCGTCTCAAGACCTGCCAGGCCATTAGACCGCCCACTAGCGTCCCCCACAACTCCAAGGCCCGCAAAATCGCGGGATTCAGATCTCAAGACGCCTGATGACTCAAGACTGTTAGAAACCGACTGGGTCAATCTATTTGTTGCTCTTCACTGGAGCAGAGGGGAATATATATAAACTACTACTCCCCGGGGCATTACGCCTTTTCTTCCTCTTTCATCTCCTGTACCCGATCTCTACCCACGAGAAAAGGAAAGGTAGCTAACGGAAGAAAAATGGAATCGAACTGGCTGACTGCACGCAATAAGCACACATACGAAAATGGACGCCGCTATTATGGCTTCAAGAGCGAATTCCCCTTTCCAGACGACGAAAACGCTACCACAGCACACGCGATGATCAGCACCATCTGGCATCTTCTTCTAGACGGCAGAACCTTTATTGCCCCCCTAGATCCGGTCAAGAAAAGCCATAAGTTTCTCGAGTTCGCTACCCGTAGCGGCTCCTAGACGATCATGGCGCTGGACCGGCATCGTCCTGCCCCGCGCTTAACGGGTATGGACCTGACCGATATGTCTCCAGATCTCCCGTATTTTGAACACCACGAGCTTGAGGGCGATTGGCCGTTCACTACAAAACAGGCGTTTCATCTGATCCATGCGCAGTCGCTAGGCGGGGTGATTACCGACTATGATAGGTTCTACGCTAACGCGTTCCGGCATCTTCTCCCCGGGGGTGGTTAGAAGTGTGGGAGAATGACTTGTGCTTCTTTACCGATAACGCACAGGATGAAGCCCGGCTACTGGCACTAAGGGAGTGGGAGGCGCTGATACACGAGGCGGCGGCCAAGTTTGACAAGCGAATCAACGTGGCAGCCGAGCAGAAGGAGCTGATGCACTCAGCTGGCCTTGTGCAAGTCGATGAACAGATATTCAAGGTAGGTGAGCCTAAAATGGAACAAAAATCAAAGATAATCATTGTGTGTATTGTAGCCTAAGCGGCTGACTTTTGAGTGCCTGCCACTAGGTTCCCTTTGGCAAGTGGAGTGACGACCCAATTTTGAAAAGAATTGGGAGTTTCTATGTGTACCAAATGCAGTGCGCGCTGGAGGGATACACGCTACGTCTATTCACCAAGACATTGGGCTGGTCAAAGGAAGACACTGATGCCCTGATTAATCGGGTGCAGGAGGAATTACAACAAAAGGATCTGCGGCTTTATTCATATTTTTATCTTGTCATAGGGCAAAAGCCAGCACAGGCCGCTCGAAAGCAATAGGGGGAGGGTGGAAGTCGGAAAAGGAGGAAGAAAAGAAAGAACAATGTCATGAGGCAAGATTAGGAAATAACCTGCTCCTGTGTGTATGTAGAATGCTGTCCCAGTTATAATCAGTAGTGAAATTAGAGGCCATATATTCTGGCCACTGCTTATGAAAGATTGGCAAGTGACAAACCGTAGAGTGCTAGGGTTCTTTCGTTATGCCCATTATCGTATACTTTAACAAGAACAGTCGGCTGCCTCTGTCGTTGAGGATGACATGATGGTAGTCTTTTTAGTAGTCTTAGGTAGATGATTCATATAAATCTTTTATGTATGACGCTGTACCTGATATGGATGATTATATTCCATACTGTAGAGTTGTCATAGATAGTTCATCTTCAACAGCTGAATAGAGAAACTGGTTCGAAGTAGCATCGCGTTGCATTGACAACCACTAATTAACACCCTCGATACACCGCAAAACCCCTAAAGAATAGCGGTGGCATTCGCATGGGAACCAACTCCACCTATCAACCCGTTAGTTAGCATAGCCCATACACCCAACATAAACCCAGCCGCAAAGCCCACAAGCAAAATACATACCAGGCATATTGGCCGGAGCACTAGTCATAAAAAAAGACCACTTCCCCCTGGCCCGACATTTCTCAGCGAGCAATTCCAAATCCCACATCTCCCCAATAGGACACCCCCATAGCGCCAGCAAGCTCTGATGCAAATAGTCATGTTCAGGAACAGGCCACGACTCAAACGTCGGCGAATCGCCCGCCACGGCCGCAAAATAACAATCATGCAGCCAGTCCCGGATAGCGGACTCGCGCGAGAGTCCCGCAAAGCACAGGTCATCGTGGGAGCGTGTCGCAGCTGCATATCTCTGCTCAGGACTGAGCTCGTAGTACCGCTCCACGAAGCCGGAGCGTACGAGTAGAATGTCTCCGATGCGGATGTCGCCGCCTTCGGACTTCGGGCGTAGATCTAAGCCTTGTGAGCTCGCGCATGCTTGTAGCTCTGATAGGGTGATGCTGTGTGTTGTATAGGGGTCGTAGGGCTTGTTATGTGTTTTCGCGTAGTGGTAGTAGTCTAGGAGGATTCCTCGACCGGCAATTCCGTGCATTGCCCAATGGTGGATGCTGCAGCGGAGGTTTGCAGTGTCGCCTACAAAGTCACTGCTTTTGGCCTGGGTGTTGATGGATTAGTACCCGGAGATGGAAAATCGAGTTTGGTGCATACCCCATTGTAGAAGCACTTGCTGTCAATGTGGGCGAACTATGGACGTATTAGACCAAGGTTTCGTTTGGTGGTTATAATCACTTACATGCCGGAACCCATCCCATTGCGTCCCGCTCTGGGTGTTCATACTATAAGTATCATCATAGGCAATGCCATCAACAAGCGTTTTGATATTATGCTGGAAGACCTCGCGGTCAAAGGCCGGCTTCTCGGGTACTGTGAGAGGAAGGCTTGATATTCATACCTGTAAGCGGAGTTCAATCTTATAGTTCACTCGACTTACTCCAGTCGCACCATCTCTCCAGTATCAATCTCAGCAGCAGATGCCTTGACCCGCTGCGGCGTCAGGAGATTTAATCTGCCCACCTATACATCTGATGGATCAGCGACATAAAAATAGAACATATCGACATAAATGGCAGTATCCACCTCATCATCTTTGCCCCAGACCCAAGCGGCGCCATCAGGTGCATCTGGAAGCTTTGGAAGATCTTTCCGCGAAGGGAACTTGGTACTGTTAGGATCCCAGGGTAACTTGTTGGCAACCTGAGTGGAGAACGACATGGAGTTGTCTTTGATGTGACTTGATATAACAGATCGTCTGGAAAGACTGCGGGACGCCATGGATGATAGATATATGTACTGGGTCTACAACGAAGGAAGAAGAAACCCCGGCTTTGAACAATGACTGCCTGGACAGGAAATCTACGTGTTACACACATGGCGGGGCGAATCTATAATGGAAGCAAGGGACATGGGTAGATAATGTCGGAAGGTTTCCAATTGTTCTTTGAATGGTCGAAATTGGAGCTGTCTCAGTGTGGATGGTGTACTCTTCCAAGGTTGCTCTCTGGGTTAGCAATCTATAAGAAGCGGTCAGTTCAAGGTAAGTGCGATATATGATGTATCAAGTTCGGAGAAGAGAGCTCACAACCAGGATACGTATAAATATGTATAAAATGAGAGATATTTGACAAATTCTGGTGCTCACAGACGTGTGGAAATGTTGATGTATACAACTTACTACCGGATTAAGCTACTTTCTGGGGTCTCAGGCCTTGATGAGATGCGGATTAAACCGCTCTAGAATAGATACACAAGGAAGAAACAGATTGGAAGGCCATTCGGCCTCGTTTTTTGCCTTTTCATTTAGGTCATTGGGGAAATTTCCTCCCAGATGATTTACAAAAAATAACGATCTCTGCTCCATGCGGGCGAGCACGAGATATCATGGTGCATTCGCCACTTTCTGCACAGTGAAAACATAAGAGAAGATTCGACCGGATCCAGGAATTTCAGAAGACGCCGCAGAAAGGGTATGCGTGGCAGATGGAAAAAAAAAAAAAAAAAAAAAAGGAACATAACAATAAAACACAAAGAAACCCATAATTGCTGTTGCAGGATCGCATGGCCAACCCAGTATGCCCCCGGCCCCAGTCTGCCTTGCGCCGAAGAGACTAGAAAAGATTGAAGTGTGATTATTCGTTTCGGTCATAGGTCTTGCCACCCCAAATATGAAAACAAGATAGCAATCATCGCTAGAAAGACATGTAATCAAAAAAATCCCGATCAACCCTGGGATGGGACACCAGTGGACTCAGAGGTGACCCGGCCACCGCGGCCACGGCCGTAGCCACGACTGTAGCCACCTCGACCACGACCATAGCCGCGGCCACGGCCACGACCGCGGTAGTTGGGCCGGTAGCCATCAACACTACCCTGTCCGAAGGTTTCCATATTGCGTTTCTCCTCCTCGCCGCGCCACTCACGACCACCAACACGAGTGGTGTTCTCCTCACGATCGCGAGCCTCACTTGAGATATTGTCGAAAAAGGAAGAACCGCGGTTGTAGCCGTGGGCCGAAGAGCCGCCGCCGTTTGACATAGTTTCCATGGATTCTGCCTCCTCGGCTGCATGGACCTCGGCTTCAGCAACGGGAACTCCAGTGGCAATGGCCTCCTTCACCAAATCCTGCTTGTTGAACTTGGCGTTTGCAGTTTGGAAATCGTAATCCGATTGGGGGACTTCGATTTTCTTGGTCTGCTGCGGAGGACGCGCGCCGCCACGACCACCACGAGGGTGGTGGTGACCACCTCGGGGAGGACGGGTGTTGTCGTAAGGGCGCATGTGATTCATCTGCTGCGTAAGCGCATCCACGGCACCTTCGGCCTGTCCTGGTTGCTTTTGAGCACCAGGCTGAGGCAACTTGGCCATGGCGGCAGCAACGGCAGCGGTGGCGGCCGCGGTGGCATCAGTGATAGACTGGTTATTTCCCCGAGCGGCGATAGGAATGTTGGCGATCGGAGGAGCAGGCCTTGGGGCAGCGATCGGGATAGCTGGCATGACTCGGCCATTCTTCTGAGGGACAGGAGCAGCACTAACAGGAACTTGCAAAGCTTCAGCCACACTAGGCTTCGAGTCGTTTGGAGGAGTGGGGGCGTTCTGAGCGGCTGGGGTTGCGTTACCGCTCGTAGACTTGCTGGGAAGCTTGTCCCCGATCGGGAGTTCAGATGTAGGCTTAGGTGCGGGTGCGGCACCGGGAGGTCCCGGGCGCTGAGAACCATGCTGCTGAGGTCCAAGCTGTGGAGGTCCAGGTTGCTGACCAGGGCCAATGGGCATCGGTGGCTGGAATTGACCAGGACCGGGGGGAATCCATGCCCTGGAGGCGGGTACCATCCGGGCGGAGCACCATACGGGGGGAAACCGGGACCGGGAGGGAACGGAGGAGGTGGTCCAAATCGCTGTCCGTAGGGGGGGGTAGAAACCTTGCTGGAATTGGTGCTGCGGGGGGTAACCGGGAGGGCTTGGGCCAGCTCCCTGAGGCAGCTGGGGAGGGCCCTGGGGAGGAAGATTCTGTGGAGCAAGTCCCGGGTCAGGCCCCTGGGTAGGAACTGGTCGTTTCGCGCCCTATTTGTGCTAGTCAGCACGCTGTATACAAAACGATACAGAAAACAAGTCCATGGGGAATTGATCATCAGAAGGAAGGCAACGGAAATCTCAACATGGTTTTGCGCATTCAGACAGATATGTGTTTACATCCGAGAATTTTTCGTCACTTGATCAATTCGCTGAGACAATGTGCGGTGGGTTGTGGGGGATGACGTTGTAGATCAAGGAAAGAGCTGTGATGACTTACCCCGAGAATGGCAGGGTCATCGGGTACCCGAGGTGCTTCTTGCGGTGCGGGCTCCTTTTGATCCTCCCCAGCAATGCTAATGTCCTTCACATCACTTCCTCGGAAGACGATGTACTCGTAAACACTGGTGGAGGGGGGAACTTCCTCGGCGGGGTTGCCACGGCGCCCTTCTGAACCGAATGACATGACATTCTCAAGAGCTATCGTGGAGGCTTCGGGGTTGATTTCGTGAAGAGTACCGACATAACTAAAAGACAATTAATGGCGGAGAAGACAATTGACAGTCTGATAAACTCACCGAATGTCACTTTTCGAGATCAGGTTGAAACGCTGACTGCCAAATGTTAACTCCCGGCCACCTTGACTCCGAACCGGTTCAGACTGACCCTATGAGATGATTCATTTCCATGGCAGCTGTGCGCGATATCGCGCGGACTAAGTAAACGAGGGATACGGAGAGAAAGAATACGAAAACGGATAGATTTGAAGAGACGAGATAGGTTGGGAAGAGAAGGGAAGGGAGAGGAAACGCAAATTCTGTGGTTTTGTGGAGGATACGGGCTACGGTGGACGACGTAAGCTTGGATAGCAATTTTGAAGTTGGCGGGGGAGAAGTTGATGGGGAAAAATGAGAGCTGCTTTTACGTTTGCCTGGATTTTTGAGAGACTGGAGACACGATGACGACCTCTTCGAACCGGGATCATTTCTTTCAGACATCGTGAGTCAAAGCAATTGTTTGATCTTTCAATCGGAATGTGTTGATTGACGTCCCTCACAGCGCGTCTTTGGATGAGCAGGAGCGGAAAGATGCCAAGTCTCAGAACACCAATGGAAACCCTATTCGACTGCAGGGCAAGATCCTAGCAGTTCATCCAGACCCCTGGCATACTGGCTCGATTTATGTTGCGCAAAGCAGTGGCACTGTGAGAAGGGTCATCCTTGCCGTAAGTGCACCCGTAATCTCAAAACCGTCGCAAATTCTTACATTTCTACAGACAGGCGAAACAGCTAAGGTATTTACAGGTCCCATGGCTCCTGTTACTTGCCTTTGTTTGAGCCCCGATGGCAAGCTCCTATTTGCCGGGTGCTGGGACCAAGCTATCTGGAGCTGGGATACGGCCACGGGCCAGCCACGTCAGAAGTACGAAGGCCATGTCGACTTTGTTCAATCAGTCATCAGTGCAAGGTTACTTGGAAAGGACCTGCTCATCTCCGGTGGTGCTGATGCACAAGTCCTGGTGTTCAATATCACAAGTGGAGAGCGGTTAGAGACCTTCAAGGGCCACTCTCGGAGCATCCAGGACCTTGCCCTTGACCCAGAATCGGATAGCACCAAACCAATCGTATTTAGTGCAGGAAGTGACCGGGAGATTCGCCAATTCAGTATCTTTGGCGGTGGTGATACTACTGACCCTCTCCTTCCACATGAGACCAGTGTCTACAAGCTCTTTTTCGATAACGACGGTGATCTCTGGACTGCTTCGGCTGACAAGACTGCCAAATGCTTGATTCGAGAGGATGGCTGGAAGGCCAATCTGACCCTAGAGCATCCTGACTTTGTCCGTGATGTTGTTGTCTATGAAGCAGGAGGCTGGGTTGTGACTGCCTGTCGGGACGAGGAAGTTAGAGTGTGGAACCGATCGGTAAGGACCTCTTTCCTTCTTGGTCTTTTTATGCGTATATGCTGATTAATATAGACCGGAGCACTGCATCATACTTTCTCTGGCCACTTCGAAGAGGTCACTGGGCTTGTGCTTGTAGGTTCAACCATTGTCAGCGTAGGAATTGATGCGACCATTCGCCAATGGTCCCTTCGACCTGATGAGCTTCAGCAGGCAGTGGAACTCGCAAAGAAGCCCGCAGCAGACAAAGAGGAAGAGGAAAAACCAGCCGAATCCATGCTAACGGCAGAGGAAGAGGCAGAGTTGGCAGAGCTAATGGGAGACGATTAGATGATGTGATACCCAATTATGTTTTGAACATATGTATACTTAGCAGAGACATGTATGGTGCCTTAAATACCACACCAAATACTACACTAAACATGTAGATATGTTGTAGACTATACAACCGGATCACGTGACTTGCTGATGCAGCCATGACGCACGGGGCCGATCTCCCGCGACCGCGACCCTTGCCTCGACTCCCCCGCCTAAATGGCGCGCCCGCACACGACTTTATCCATCAAGACACGCTCCGACCTGCTCTAACCCGCGCCAACCCGACCCATTTCTCACCCCAGTTTAAAAGATACTATTTGTGCCACAAGCCATTATATCCCATCAGGACTCGATCCCGCGTTGGGTAGCTTCTAAACTTGGGTACCTAGGTACTGCCAGAACCCGTTAATAACCACTATTTAGCCCCGGGCTGACGGACGTCTAGTCTCCGATCAGCAGAAGTATTGGAAATCCAGTGACAATGGCTGCCTCGATCAACCACTCACATCCGCGCCATGACATACCTGACACAAGCTCCAAAATGGTCAATCGCTTGCAGCAAAGCAAATCCCCCTATGTGAGAGATGTGTTCCTATGAGATAAATGGCAGCACGCTCATGGAACAACAGGTCCGAGGACATATGAACAACCCGGTAGCATGGCAAGTCTGGGATGCAGAAGCTATGGAGCTTGCCAAGAAGCACAATCGTTTAATCTTTCTCAGTATCGGTTACTCCGCATGTCATTGTAGGTTACAACTATTTCACTGGGCGTACCGGCATCTAATATTGCCTAGGGTGTCATGTCATGGAAAGAGAATCGTTTATGTCATCAGAGGTGGCCTCGATTCTGAACGAATCCTTTGTCCCGATCAAGGTTGATCGCGAAGAGCGACCAGACATCGACGACGTTTACATGAATTATGTCCAGGCCACGACGGGTTCTGGTGGCTGGCCCTTGAATGTGTTTTTGACTCCTAACCTTGAGCCCGTGTTTGGTGGCACTTACTGGCAAGGCCCAAATTCAAACACATTCACGGGCCCCGAGGCAATCGGGTTTGTGGAGATCTTAGAAAAATTGAGAGATGTGTGGCAGACACAACAGCAGCGTTGTCTCGATAGCGCTAAAGAAATCACCAAGCAGTTGAAAGAGTTTGCCGAGGAAGGGACACATGGTGACCGCGATAATGATAATGACGAGGAAATGGATATTGAGCTTCTAGAAGAAGCGTATCAGCATTTCGCCTCTCGATACGACTCGGTCAATGGCGGCTTTGGCCGCGCACCGAAATTTCCTACACCCTCTAACCTCAGCTTCCTAATCCGGCTCGGTGCCTATCCGACCCAGGTCACGGATGTTGTAGGGCATGATGAGTGTGAACAAGCAACCGCGATGGCTGTCACGACGCTAGTGAACATGGCTCGTGGCGGCATTAGGGACCACATCGGCCATGGATTCGCACGGTACAGCGTGACGATGGACTGGGGTCTCCCTCATTTCGAGAAGATGCTTTATGACCAGGCACAGCTGTTGGATGTCTACGTGGATGCTTTCCGGCTTACTCACGACCCCGAACTTTTAGGCGCTGTCTATGATCTGTCCGCTTACTTGACGAGCGCCCCGATACAGTCGCCCACCGGGGGGTTCTTTTCCTCGGAAGATGCCGACAGTTACCCCCATCCAAATGACACCGAAAAGCGAGAGGGTGCCTTTTATGTCTGGTCGCTGAAGGAACTCACCTCAGTCCTCGGCCCTCGGGATGCTCCAGTCTGCGCCAAACACTGGGGTGTTCTCCCTGACGGCAACGTGCCCCCCGAGTATGACCCTCATGATGAGTTCATGAACCAGAACGTGTTGTCCGTCCGCGCCACGCCGAGCAAACTCGCTAGAGACTTCGGTCTTAGCGAGGAAGAAGTAGTGAAGATCATCAAGTCGTCAAAGCTGAAGTTGCACGATTATCGCGAACGAACACGCGGGCGGCCAGACCTGGATGACAAGATTATTGTGGCCTGGAATGGATTGGCGATCGGTGCGCTTGCCAAGTGTAGTGTTCTGTTTGAGGAGATCGAGAGCTCCAAGGCCGTACATTGTCGCGAAGCGGCAGCACGGGCAATCAGTTTCATCAAGGACAAGCTCTTCGATAAAGGCACGGGACAGCTATGGCGCATTTACCGCGATGGAAGTCGTGGAGACACCCCGGGTTTTGCCGACGACTACGCATACTTGGCTAGCGGGTTGCTTGATATGTATGAGGCTACTTACGACGACAGCTATCTTCAATTTGCGGAGCGATTGCAAAGTGAGAATAGCCCCATTTCTATGAACGGGACCTTGTGGCTAACTTGTGATTCTAGGATACCTCAATGAATACTTCTTGGATGAGAGTGGCTCTACAGCTACCGGATACTTCAGTACACCTTCCGTCGTCACCCCTGGCATGCCTGCCCCGATCCTCCGTCTCAAAACTGGCACCGAGTCAGCAACACCTTCGATCAACGGAGTCATCGCACGTAATCTACTGCGCCTATCTGCTCTTCTCGCGGATGAGAGTTACCGGACACTGGCTCGGCAGACGTGCAACACCTTCGCGGTGGAGATCATCCAGCACCCCTTCCTGTTTGTAGGCATGCTGGACGTGATTGTGGGCCTCCAGATTGGCACTCGCACAGTGACGGGTGTTTTCTCCACCCCCGATGTCTCCTCGGTCCCCAAGCCACGTGGCGACAATTTCCTCAGTCGGAACGATGAGCCCGTGTCAGCACTCGACCTGATCCAGCGACGTGTCCGGGCCGAGGCCGGCGTGGCCGTGTCCTCGTCTGTCGTGGTCACTTCGCTTGTCGACATTCGCCCCTCACATCTGAAAGACTTTGTGGGAAACCTGTCCTTCTGGCTCAAATCCCGAAATGCTCTCTTCCAAGATTTGAAGGCCGGCGAGCCAGCCAAGAACTACTTGATGATTTGTGAGACTGGGAAATGCCAAACTAAAAATCTCTAGCGAGCGCTATGAGTTTGGTACTTACATTTTTGAATTACACCAGGAGTGTTGTGTGGCGTTTTTGGACATTTGGTTGGGTATTGCACGTTTTACAATTTACGTTATTTCAGAGCGGATGTTCTGTACTCTAGACTATGGACCTTGGGCTCAATGCCGTGGAGGTGCATGTTCAAGCCTAGAATCTACGGAATATTCTGTACTCTATGTGGTCTACTCCTTACTCCTTACAAGGGCAAATGCGATTGTATGGGTTTGAAAATACGATGTTTTGGAATTTCCCCTTCCTGTATGTATACGCGCCCGGTCCCACAAGGATCCGTGGACGAGGTGTGCCAACGGGCATATCGCTCTGATTGGCTGTCGCATGATCTTCCACTTGTCGCAGATCCAAGGAACGGAGTGCTCCATCGACCTGGAACCTCGGAATATCAAAAGCTACACAGATGCCCTCCAACTTTGACAATATAAGCTCAAAAACAAGGAATTCCCATTTTGCTCCGGAGTGTCTCGGGCGATCCTTTCAATCCCGTCATAAATGAGTGGCTGAAACGAGGTTGATTGCTTTAATCTAAGTCAGATCCGCCCGTGCTCACTGCCGAATTGGCCTCCAAGCCAAGTTTCTTAGTGGGAGAAGCGGGTGTGTCGGTGGGGTTGTTTGTTTCTCAACACGTTCCTCTGATTGGTGGTTAAAGCTCCGGGTGGACACTTGAAACCGTTCCTGGCCAGGGGCTTGCGATATTAAGATCTTGCCCTTATATTTCACGGCTGTAGACTCCGTTCTAGTTTACTTCGGAGATTTTCCATGGAGTGGAAACCCACGGTACTTTTAATTACCTTGTTTCTTAGGGCTTCTTCTGATTAGCAGTACTGACTACGGACTCCATACGGTGGACTTGTTGTAGAGGTGGTCCAGGCCATACTTCCAGGGGACACATCACGCATCGTATATCCCTAATTCTTAATTTTAATTTTTAATATGCTCATATCCTTAATACTTTAAACGAGATTATGTTGTACGGAGAATATCTCTTCAAGGTCTAAATCACCAGCCTCATATCTGTGTGAAATGGTATCTAGGCCGTGGAATGTACTATAGAATGTGCCACATCGAGGCATGTTTGAATCTCAAGAGGTTGGAAAGCCCAAGAAAAGGGAATAAGTATAGGAGAAAGCCATTGACGTTTTCTAGACGATATAATAATTTATAAAATAATTACTGCAAGTTCAATCTCCATCTCCAGGACTTCATTTAAAATTAATATTCGCACGGCCCCCCACCTCCTCATCTCTCATCTCCCCCTTCTACATTATTTACCACTTTAACCTCCTCGCTTCTTCTCTCTTCTCTCCATCCAATCCCTCAAGCCTGCATCTGATCTTTCTTTCACTCTTTGAAGAAAGAAGGTGTTTCTCGGCCTGCCATTCATTTATTTTCTACCTACACACTCCTTTGTCAACAGTCGATCTGCTTGACCCAATCCCGACCCTTTTTTTAACAAACTTCCTGGAGAAGTTTCGTTGTCTGAAATCCTACAATGCGTTCTGCTGTCATCGTTGCCGCCTTGGCGGTCGGCACTTGTGCCAGAGTTATTGAGAAGGAGGTTTACGTGACTGAGTGGACTACCACCACCGTCACCGAAACCATCACCCAGTGGCCCACCAGCACCAGCACCCTCAACACTGCTGTTTTGGTCAAGCAGTCCACCAAGACCGCCAACGCCGCCCATCCCACTGTCGATGTTTCCAGGAAGGAGGTCGAGTCTGCCCCTGCTGCGGCTTCGACTACTACTGCTGCCGGGGTTGAGGCTGTGGAACCCAGTAGCGCGACCAGCTCAACCTCGTCTTCGACCACCTCTTCGATCGTCCCGTCTTCGACTACTGAGGCTGAAATCGTGGCCGTGACCTCCTCGGCTACCTCCGTCGCTACCTCTTCGGAAGCTCCGGCCACCGTCGCCCCGACCACCACCGCCGCTGCTACCACCTCCGTCGCGACCTCTTCGGCAACCTCGACCACCGCCGCTGCTGCCACCTCCAGCTCTACCGACTCCTACCAGGAGTCCATTCTGTACTACCACAACATCCACCGTAGCGAGCACTCTGTAGGCGATCTGACCTGGTCCGATGACCTCGCCGGAGCTGCCAACACCCTCGCCTCTCGTTGCGTGTACGGACACGACACGTAAGTATTCCTCTGTTTTGCTTGAGAAACAATCATCCTAACGTGGCTAGTTCCATCGTGTCCGCCAGCGGAGACTACGGCCAGAACATCGCCTACGGTTACGACGCGGCAGAGGTCGGCGAGAAGATTATCAGCGGAATGATGTACACCGATGAGGCGCCATACTTCGCCAACCTCTACGGTGAGGCCAACCCTGATATGACTAACTTCGAGAAGTGGGGCCACTTCACTCAGATCGTCTGGAAAGCTACCACTCAAGTTGGTTGCGCCACCGTTAGCTGCTCTGACTTGGGCAATGTTGGCAGCGCCGCGCCTTACACTGTCTGCAACTATGGCTCCCCTGGTAACTACGCCGGCGAGTATGCCGACAACGTCTTGAAGCCCACTTCATAAACGTCTCGGAATATATAAAGGTGTTGATTTGAGAATGCCACATCTGATATTCTTATGTGGTGATCTAAATCCATCCTGTTCTTCGGAACAATATGTCTCCTATTCGATTTGTGTTGTGGATTTATCTTCTTGTCTTTACCTTCTTCGTCATTTGCATGTCCTGCCTCGATCGGTGACCCATACTGTATGTATGCAAGCGTGCTTCGTCCTTCTATTTTGGAGGACCCATGGCAATGCAGATATTATTGTTCCATTGTGAATATTTTTGGACTCCTTGTCTTCCGCCACTCCTGTGTCGCGGCTCATCCTGTGGATAACAAAATCTCTGGCGTCATCTTTTTATTTTTCGAGCGTGATGTACTGTGTACAACCCCAGCGTATCATGAAGTTATTTCAACATGCCCACCCACGAAATTGTAAGATTTTCCCAATTTTGTTCTGTATGTCCTTTTGTACGTTCTTGGATGTTCTTTTTAGCCCCATGACGTAGTGTCCACGTGACCCCCACTCCCCCGCATGACCGGTCCCTTCGCCCGAAACGTCATTGGTACATGAAGAAAAGAGCGCTTTCGGTATACTTCAAAAGTCCGAGGAACTGTGGCGGTATAAGTGAACTTCTTCTTGCCGATAATTCATTTTATCTTTATTGAAGGACTATTCACCTTAAACCTCTCACCCTCAACGGCACGCTTTGTACATCTTTAATCCCGAGCCGAGACGCCTGCGCCGACGTGCAGGGTTCGTGATTGACATTAACCTTGGAAGTAAGTTCTTAGCCTGGTCTATCCCGCATCCCACCTATCATTTCCCCTTGAATTCCCCCACGGGGTGAGGGGTATCCTCCCCAAGACAAACCTATCTCACCCGCCATCCTCCATGGAAACGCCTCAAGATGCGATGTCTACATGGGACAAACTCTCAGAGTCTCCCATATAAAGGGACTCTGTAGCACCCATAACCTACTTGTCCACAGTGGTCCTTTTCTTGGCAATAATTTAACATCTGGCGGCATAGCAGAAAACTCATCCGTTTCTCCGGCGCTATCATTCCGCTCTCCCTCCGTATTACCCGGTCACACAAACCCGCATTTCGGTTTCAGACCATTTGCACTATCGTACATTGCTCTGTAAGTACATGGCTCAGTCGGTGTTTCTTTTCCTTTTCCCCTTAGGCCCGAGGTGGATCCACCGTCGAGATGATTCTATAATCCCGCACGCCTATATAAAATTACCAGACTCTCTCCCTCTCTCTCGCCACTTGAATTTCTCCCCCTCTACGTGATCTTCTTCTTGTCCTCTTGTCCCTTGCCCGCATCCATTCTGCGCATGACATAGTTCCAATGCCATCTTACTGCCTCCAAGACTGCCACTACTTCTACCGCACAGCCTTACGCCTCCTGTCAATTCCCACTTTCCTCGCTAGTCGCTACGCCTGATTTTATCTTCCGAGAATCTGAACACATCTAACACTATGTCTTACTCCTCAATGGCAGTCCGATTCTTCACAGCCCCCAAACCGCTTGGTGATTCTTTGGACACCGATCCCAAACCACTTGGTGATTCTACGGACGCCGACCCCAATTCATCCAGTGATTCTATGGACACCGGCAAAAGCAAGAAGTCCGGGCCTGACTCCCAGGGCCAGACAGTCATGAGAGCAAATATCTCTTCTGAACAGCCCTCCGCGGAGATTGCTGAGCCCAAGAGCCAGGGCTTGACTTTTGCAAACCAGGACTCGCTGCCTAAACTTCCTATTCCTAATCTGGAGGATACCTGTCGCAGGTACCTAGAGACTCTGCAGGGCTTGCAAACCCCGCGTGATCATGAAGATACCAAGGCTGCTGTTCGGGACTTTTTAAAGAATGAGGGCCCTATTCTGCAAGAGCGGCTGAAGGCTTATGCTAGCTCAAAGACCAGCTATATTGAGCAATTCTGTAAGTCTTCAGAATAAGTGTTGGATGGGATGTTGGCTGATCCTTTTCTAGGGTATGATTCTTATTTGAATTTCGATAATCGTAAGTTGGATTTCCTGTGAAGAACTTTTTGCAGTCATCTAACATTCGCAGCTGTTGTTTTGAACCTCAATCCATTCTTCCTTTTGGAGGACGACCCAACTCCCGCCAGAAATCACCAGGTGACTCGAGCTGCATCACTGGCCGTCTCATCATTGGCGTTTGTTCGGGCTGTGCGTCGAGAGGAGTTGCCTCCTGATACCGTGCGGGGAACGCCCCTTTGCATGTATCAGTACTCCCGGCTTTTTGGAACCGCACGTCTGCCTACCGAAAATGGCTGCGTAATTAGCCAGGACCCCTCGGCTAAACACATAGTTGTTATGGCTCGGGGCCAGTTCTACTGGTTTGACGTCTTGGACGACAATAGTGATTTGATCATGAGTGAGAAAGATATCTCGCTTAACCTGGAGGTAATCGTTGAGGACGCGACTCAGACTCCTCTTCACGAGGCTGCCAAGGGTGCTGTGGGTGTACTCAGCACCGAGAACCGGAAAGTTTGGTCGGGCCTACGTGATATCATGACCAAAGATCGCAGATCTAACAACGCGGAGTGTTTGAACATTGTCGATACCGCGCTCTTTATCCTATGTCTAGACGCCACGGAGCCAGCCTCCATGGCCGATCTTTGTACTAACATGCTTTGTGGCACATGCGAAGTCGTCAAGGGTGTGCAGGTTGGAACCTGTACCAACCGTTGGTATGACAAGCTGCAAATCATCGTTTGCAAGAACGGCAGTGCCGGTATCAATTTCGAGCATACCGGTGTGGATGGCCACACGGTGCTACGCTTTGCCAGCGACGTGTACACCGACACCATCCTCCGCTTCGCAAAGACCATCAACGGGCAATCCCCAAGCCTATGGGCAACCAGCAGTCCCGACCCTGCGAAGCGCGACCCACACAGTTTCGGAAATGTCAGCACGACACCGCGCAAATTAGAATGGGACATGACACCCGAGCTTAACATTGCGCTCCGCTTCGCCGAATCACATCTATCCGACCTGCTCTGCCAACACGAAATCCAAGTCCTGGACTTCGAATGCTTTGGCAAGAACTTCATCACTTCAATGGGCTTCTCTCCGGATGCATTCATCCAGATGGCCTTCCAAGCCGCCTACTACGGCCTCTACGGCCGAGCTGAGAACACCTACGAACCAGCCATGACAAAGATGTTCCTGCACGGACGCACAGAAGCCATCCGCACCGTAAGTCCCGAATGCATAGACTTTGTCACCGCATTCTGGGGCGAGAATGCCGCCGAACAAAAGGTCGATGCCCTCCGCATCGCATGCCAAAAACACAGCGCCGCCACCAAGGACTGTTCAAAGGGCCAGGGCCCGGACCGTCACCTCTACGCCCTCTACTGCCTCTGGCAGCGCTCCTTCGACGAAGGTCTCTTCCCGGACACCAGCTCAACCGGCGGGTACTCCAGCCCTGGCGAAACACAATCCCAAACCCAAAGCCAGTGTCCCGAATCACCGAAGCTCTCCTCCTCCTCCCCTTCAGACGACGGTTTCTCTTCACAGGGAAGCAGCACACGCGGCTACCGCACAGTAACGGCGCCAACGCCCGCAATCTTCGCCGATGCCGGCTGGGACAAGATCAATACCACTATACTGTCGACCTCAAACTGTGGAAACCCTTGTCTGCGCCACTTCGGCTTCGGCCCTACGTCAGCCGACGGCTTCGGTATTGGCTATATCATCAAGGACGATTCGATCTCGATCTGCGCGAGCTCCAAGCACAGACAGACGTCGCGTCTCATGCACACGCTCGAGACGTATCTGTTTGAGATTCGGAAGTTGCTGCGCGCGACCAATCGCAAGGCGACGAGTCCGCGCACTAGTCGCGCGAGAGAGACTGAGGCGTTTGCGGAGAGCTTGCAGGCGGAGACGAATCGTCGCGGTCGACTTGTAAGAGGTGGGGGTGTTGAGACACCTACTTCTGCTGCTGAGAGTAGCTATATGGAGGATGATGGTATGGGAGGATGTAAGTTTTTGACTCTTTTGCGCCTTTGGTTGCTGGTTCTTATATTGCGACTCTTTGCTAACTTATATCTTACTAGATGGTTTCTTCGATGCTGGTATGCTTCTCCATGCGCTCAAGGGTCTCAGTGCGGAACGGGAACAACGCGGGGAGAAATCTGTTAGGCGGAGATTTGTGGGGAAGAAGCTTCATCTTAATGATTATTGATTGTGCAGAGTTCGAGAAGGAAGTCGTATCTAGGTAGTTCAATCAGACGAAAACGACGTATGAATTTATATTTACCCCATATCCATCTCATGTGCGAAGACGCGAAGTATAAAAAAGCTTGAAAGGGCCAACTTCCTCGGCAAATGTGGGGAAAGCTCCGACACCGGATTATAGCCGACTTGGCTCAGTAGCCTTTCTTGACTTGATTGATTTCGAAGTTGACATTGTATATAATCTTCCTCCGACTATAGAAGCATTGCGCCAATCTGCATGTGTATTCCATGAACGCTATGACTCTGCACGCCGTACATAAACGGGCGCCCCAGTTGCGGGCATCCCTAACAAGGCGCTTTACAACCACCCCCCGCACGGCCAGTTATGCGGACACTTTACCGAATCTCAAGATTGGCGCCCATACCAGGGTATTGTACCAGGGGTTTACAGGTAATTATTCCCGTTTGTTATAATTGAGCCGAGTCCCGCAATGAATGACATGGAATACTAATCTCCGCCGCAGGAAGACAGGCGACTGCCAATGCCAAGGAGTCTCTTGAATGGGGCACTAAGATCGTGGGAGGCGTCAAGCCTGGGGTCGAAGGCGAACATCTAGGTTTACCTGTCTTCCCATCTGTCAGAGCGGTACGAGGGTTGAACTAATTTGTTCTCCCGGGAAGATTGTAATTTGACTAACGAGCAAGCACACTAGGCCCGAGAACAGGCAAAGCCTGACGCATCTGCGATCTATGTCCCAGGAAATCAAACCGCCAAAGCCATCGAAGAAGCCATCGAAGCAGAAATCCCACTCGTCGTGGCTGTAGCTGAGCATGTGCCCATCCACGACATCCTTCGGGTATGACCTACTCACAGTTAATCTTGTTAGGAATCATCGAAGAGCTCTTTCCATTAACCGTATTACATACAGATCCACTCCATGCTACAAACGCAATCCAAGACCCGTCTAGTCGGCGCAAACTGTCCAGGCATTATATCCGCCATCGGCAAATGCCGAATCGGCTTCCAGCCATTGCCATGCTTCGCGCCGGGCAATGTCGGTATCGTGGCTAAATCTGGGACATTAAGCTATGAGACTGTTGCGTCGACGACGCGGGCTGGACTTGGTCAAAGTCTTTGTATTAGTATGGGCGGTGACGTGCTGGCGGGCACGAACTTTGTCGATGCCCTTAATCTCTTTGAGGATGATCCTGATACTCGGGGTATTATCTTGGTTGGGGAGATTGGGGGTACGGCGGAGATGGATGCTGCGGAGTGGATTGAGGATTATCGACGGAGAACTGTGGATCCTAAGTAAGTTGTTGTATCTTGTTTCTGGGTTTTCTGGATGTAATGCTAATTGAGATTGGATAGGCCTATTATGGCTCTTGTTGGTGGGTTGGAAGCACCTCCTGGGCGGGTTATGGGACATGCTGGTGCTTGGGCTGCGCCTGGGGAACCTGATGCAGAAACTAAGTATCGGGCGCTTGAACGTGCTGGCGCGGTCATGGTTAATCATCCTGAGAAGTTCGGCGAAGGAATGAAGACTTTGTTTGCGAACCAGTCTAACCGGCCGGGTATAAGTGTGAGTATGTTTCTTTTCTAATCCGATCTGAGCTATACTAACTACTCATAGCCAATGTCTGGAACTAGCTCACAAAAACGTGGCTTTCATACTATGAGACGAGTTACGCCAATCTCGAGATCGACAGCTGAACACAAGCGTAATCTGTACATCAAGCAGTTCCAGGCATTCGACATCCTCAAGCAGAAATCCGTCCCTGTCAATGAGTCGGCTTCTAGCTCTGATAGTCCTATTTCTGTTTCCATTGCAGTCGACCGAACAGCTTTATCGCCGTGCATTATTGCCTCGGCGACTTCCGACTTTAGCCCGGCTCAGTCGCAGAAATTCCCGTTCCCTTACAATCAGACCAAGTTCGAAACCTCCATTATCGCGGCTGTTGCCGAGCAGTTGGGTCTCCCAGCCTCTGCTCACAAGCAGCTTGAAGGCATTCTGCAAGCCCTTTGGGAAATTTACAAGGAAAAAGAGGCCTTCACGCTAGAGACGCAAATTGGCATCTCCCCCGATGATGTTTTGGAGGTCCAGGGTGCACGTTTTGGCTTCGACGATGCTGCATTCCGTAGCTCGGGCCGACAGGAAGATATCCATAAACTGCGGAATATATCCGAAGAGGTCGCGGAGGAGGTTGAAGCCGAAAAGGACGGAATTGTTTACGTCAAGTATGTAGTAGCACATCCATGACTCCCTAGTTGTCTGTATCTTTGCTGACATACAGCAGATTGGAAGGCGAAGGCAATATTGGCACACTCGGTATGTATTCTAGTCTATTCCTTAGTCGGGAAAGGGTGTTCGCTCACAATATCGCGCAGTCAATGGAGCCGGCCTTGCCATGAACACGGTCGACGCTCTCACTATCCACGGCGGCCACTGCGCGAATTTCCTCGACACCGGTGGCAAAGCTACTTCGGAGACAGTCAAGGCGTCATTCCGCGTAATTTGCTCTGACACGCGCGTCAAAGCCGTCTTTGTCAATATCTTTGGCGGACTGACTCGCTGCGACATGATTGCTGAGGGCATTATCTTGGCTTTCCGGGATTTGAATATGAAGGTTCCAGTGGTTGTGCGACTGCGAGGTACGAATGAGGAACTGGGGCAGAAGATGGTAAGCATTGATCTGAATAGCCGCTACCGTTGGCTAACTTGAGTATTTGTAGATTGCGGAGAGTGGCCTTCCTTTGCATGCATTTGATGGATTCGAGGAGGCTGCAAAGAAGGTTATTGCATTGGCTAAGGGGCAATAGTTGCTTTACATTCGAAGTGTATGTGGCCATACTAGATAGAATATATCGGCTTAGATCTCTGTTTCAATCTAATACAACGATTTATAAATATATATTCTCTGATGTCACTTTCATACTCAGATTCCTCTTGAGAAACAACGTCTACTAAGCCTCTATATCCAGATCCGAAATCATCCTGAAAGCAACTCACTCATTAATATACAACCATCTAGGTAGGCAAAAGACAATGTAAATCCACCAGAATCAAATAAATTCCCGATAGCGTGGTGGCTCTGGCCACAGTGAAATAGAGACCTTCACATCTTTCACTTCCTTCATTTCCTTCACATCCACTTCTTTCACTGATTTAGTGTAATCTCCACGCATTTGCGGGAAGAAATACCCAGGAGGGGTGATACATAGGGCTATCACAGAGACAGAACACATTCTAGGATCCATCAGCTTTCAAATGCTTCCAATTTGTGTTGTCAAAGTTCGACTTACATCGATTCAAGGATAGTAAAATCAAGTTCGTTCTGCATTATGTGATTTTTCCACCCACCAGCCATTTCCGCGATGCTAGACACTCCAATATCAGTACTCAGCAGATATCAAGATAGTATCACGGGTGACTTACCGATACACACAACGGACATAAGTTGTTATGAATGACACAAAGATACCCCAAAAGAATACCCAGAAATTGCGGCTGTTCCAGACTTTTCTGGCCTCAACCGTCAATCCATCTTTCGGGGCGTTCTTTATACGGAGAAGAAAGTGGCCCGACATCACCCCAAATATCGTCAAGGTGACCACTTGCCAAACAATCCCGGCCAGCATGACATTGCTGCCCATATCACTAGCTTTGGTTGTTTTAGCTGCTGCCGCAAGCCCACCGCCAGCGCCTTGGAGAATCAACGAAACGGTATCGCAGGTGACAAAGAGGTAGGGATACCACTTCGCCCTCAGTGCCGAGTGTTGTTGCCCCAGAACGTTCACTGCATGCTTCAGCGTGAGGTATATAGCCGCCGACCAGAAAGCGGGTGCCAGTGTCAAAGTGCAAATCTGCGTCTTGAAGCCGGCAGATGAATATGGGTTCTGGTTCAACAATATACGACCAAAATAGCCTGTTTGTTTATCAGTATTCTCTGGGCAGTCACCAGTCATTCCCATGGAGTTTCAGTATGACTTACCAATAACCTCAGTCGAAGAACCGAGAATCACGGCAATACTAAAAGACCAAAGGCGCCATCTGATCATCTGGCCGAGCTGTATCAGAGAACAAGCACCGAATATCAAACAGAACTCAACGCTGAATACAAGATCAGGTGCGTAGCCGTAGATGGTGCCCTCGACTGGACATTGAGGAGTCACCTCCGTGCATTTGGCTGCAGCGCGGATTTCAACCATGATTCTAGCATAGAGGACAAGTGATATGATCGGAGATACTCCGTATAGAAGTCACGAAGAAAAGCTACCTTCTTTACTCTCTCGATATTACTGTGTGTCAAAGAAAGATATATATAGACATAGATTTACATGCATCATTCTTGCATATATTTTTCTTTGAGAGACCGCTGTTGCCAAAATTTCTCGGCCACAGATCGGCTTTGCATGAAAGCCATGGTCGGTGGCCTTCATTGAATACTTACTAGTCAAATCCCAAAACACGCCGTAGGTTGTTATATTTTCACACTACTTAATTAAAATTCCTATTCAACAGTATATACCTGCCAGAGATGCCAGTTGAGGTATACCCGAACACTACACTACAGAGAGCTTCAACCGAGATCGTGGTAAGACCTGACCAAAGATATATGCTTATCATGATTTTTTTTTCTTTCTTTTAAAGCCTAGCGTCAATGGCATGGGTTGTGCTCAGATCCTCGTCTTAGTCCTACAGTTGTACGTCCCAACCTTCTTTGTTGTTATACCGGGGAGGACTCGGCGACGACCCGATGGTATCGTTGATATGATCTTGGAAAACCCATCTTCTTTTCACCAGACCCAATTCTTCAGCAACGGCCTCACTTGGGTGATTTTTCCCGGGTGTAGTATTTGGAAAAGAACGATGATGGTTGGTACCTGGGAGTAAAGGATCTATAGAATATCGAAGTATCTAAAATGATGCTAATCAGGGTTTCAATGTTTTATTATGCACTTTATTACTCCTACTACCCTATAACTTCTTCTGATGCAGGTTGCAATAGTTTGATGCTCCTAGATGATCTATAAGTCGGTTTCTTTTGCTAGCTTCGATGTTTCCAACGTCAGGGGTTGAATGTTAGCATCATGTACTTGATAAATCCACCGAAGACATTACGAATTCAATATAACTGATCTACTATCCCGGAAATATAAATAGAAAAAAGACTCTATTGATGCCTGACTATCCTGAGGCAGCCGAACCCGAAAGGTCTAGCCCTTCTTTGTTCTCCACGATCGACCAGGGATGCCACCGGCACTGACGCCATTCGTTCTATTTCGAGCCTGCACAAATCATCCTTAAATTGAAGTGTATATTAAATACTCTGGTTGACCATTACCACTACACTCTTTGTATATTTATCGCCCGTTACACCCGAACCCCACGTGCCAATGTCTGATCCAAGCGCCAGCGCCAGCGCCGAACTCGAATCCACACTCCGCAACCTGTCCATAGGCGAAAAGGGCCCAGTGCGAGACATCTCCCGACCAAACGTGAAAAAACTTCCAGCAGCAGCCGTGACCTCAAAGCCCAAGCCCAACCCCAAAATACACCGCAAACCCGTCGCAGACTCCTGGGAAGACGAAGCAGACCTCTCTGCCTCGGAAAGCGAGGAAGCCGAATCCCGCGACGAATACGCTTCCCAGCTGCTCTCTCCAAGCATCAGCGCTGAGGGACCGCTGGGTCCCCCGCCGACACCTATCTCCCCGCAGACCTCCAACCCGTGGACGGCGAGAGCTGCTTCTCCTGCTTCGGCGAAGGGCCCCCCGACCCGTCGACCGGAGAAGCAGACTGCCGTTGCGGAGCGGTTGATTGCCGGTGCGTTGGGGATCCGCGCTCCGAAGCGGACGGAGCAGCAGCGCGCTTATGACCGCTCGATTAAGGAGCAGGAAATCCGGAGGCGGAATCGCGAGCGTGAGGAGAAGGCTAAGGCTAAGGAGGAGGAGGAGAAGATGAAGGCTTCTATTTGGAGCAGTTAGATCGCTTTGGGGTGCATTTCTGGGGTTATTAGGCGATTTGCTCTCTATGCATGTGTATATTTGTTGAATTGGATTGTTTATGTCTTCTCTCTGTGTGACGGATTATCATGGGCGATGAATGGGCGTCTCTTTATTGCTTTGTGTGTGGTTATCTTGCACTTTAATATCCCACGAAGAACACATGTGGTCGATCAACTGATCATGGGGAGACAACTGCGCGGTTCTTTAGCCCTAGATTTGATTGCCTGGTAACCGCGTTACAAGGCGATCACTGGTAATAGCAGGGCCTAGTAAGTGTATGCGCAGTCTAAATTGAGACCCCGCAAACCATCTAAACTAACGGATGAAACAGGCCCCTCCCAGGAGAAAGTCTTCATTAATTTGGCACAAGTCCTGGTTTCTCTCTCCCAGGTTCAAATACAAAGCCTCGGACCAAAATGAGACTACCTATGTCTACGCGATGCGGTCGGTTGACCTCGAGGAAAACATAACATAGCGAAAGCACCCTCAAAGTCTGCAGAGAAGACTGAAGGGCTTTTGATAATCATCATTCATAAGAAAAAAAGCAGTATGAACGCCGCCGCTTCGCCCATGGGCCGTCAATGAGGATCCTCTGTCCACCGCTAGCCAGCAGCCCTAGCGTATCCCCCAACGTATGTCGCTCCAGTAGCCTCGGTTCCGTCGGGAAGTGCGAATCTAGCATACAGGGCTTGTCGTCTAGCAACCTCCTCCGATTTGCTCTTGGTGCACCTCCAAGGTATCACCATCTGCCATATCGAGCTATTTGAAGTTAGTTTCAAATTTTCTAGATACTAATAAATAACGAAAGAAGGGAATGGCCGTACAGTGTCGGGCGAATCTTCGGGGCGAACCCTGGTGCCGTCGAAAAGGAACCGAACAGTGGACATTTGCTTGCCCTGGCGCTCGCAGAAGGCATCCATGAGCTTTTTCAGCTGCGTTGTGCGCTTAATCTTGAAGAACACCTCGTTGTTGTTATCGGTCACCTTGATGTTCAGGTGCTCGGTGGGAGGAGCAGCGCCTTCTTTGTCGGACATGATGAATAACTGTCGGAGTCTGGATTTCGTTCAACGGCTACTTCTTATGAAGCCAGGATGTCAACGAGGAAGAATGCTTACAATGATAGGAGCGAGAGCGAGTTTAGAAACCTCTTTGAGCGGGGCTTTGAATTATGTCTGAAGAGTTCAAAAAGGAGGGTTAGATGCGATTTCAACGCGATTTTAGGGCACAACTGAAGTACGGGGTACTCACCTAGACGACGAAAGCTCAGAAGCGCGATAGTGAAGGTTGTGGAAAGGGTGGTTAGAAAAGAGAGGAAGAAGAGAGATCAGCGGCGACGGCAGAATAGCACACTCGCCCCACGGTCTGAAGGCGGAGAATCTATTTTGCGTTTGGCTCTTCTATCACTTTCGTCACTTCCGAGGAACAGTGTGTCTACAACGCTTTGTACAGAGTACGGTCTTTGATACTTGCATTATGGTATGAAAAGTGTCACTGTGGACATATTGGCTAGATGCTGAGATCCTTTTAGGGTAATTTAAAGCAAGATCTGTCGCACGATCAACCCTGCCATCCGCGTGCTGTATGTGTCCATATCTGAAAGCGTCCATTTAGAGTGCCTGGATGGTGTTGCTAGCTCTTACTGACTCCCTAACAGTGCGCCATTCAAGGTATTTTTCCAATTCAAAGCATGTTGACACAAAGGTCTAACCAAGCTAGATTGCTTGCAGAAAAACTCCTTCAATGAGGACAGATGCCAGGCACAAATTGATGCTTTATATGAGTGCTGCAATGCCTTCTACCAACAGCAAGGTGACCAAGCGTCTACCGTCAGCTGCCCGAAAGCAAACTTGCTGAAGTTGAAGATGAAGCAACGAGCTCAAGCAGCAGGGAAGTAAAGTAGTAAAGCTATTACGTTTGCTTCTTTAAATTTCAATTTCAAGTGACCCATGTTGAAGATGGAGGATGTCACAATTCCTTTGCGGTCTGAGTTTCCATATGGAGGAAACCAGGCTAATTGAAGAACTGCATTTATTATAAGACAATCGTGAGCACGCAAAGAGGCCTCATGGACCTGTACGAAAATTGAGTTTTCATACCGAGACTCTAATGAAAGCCTATAGACATTAGAGAAGAAAAGAAAAGAAGAAGAGAAGTGCGCGGGCGAAAATTCGTTGAAATAGCTTCGGGGGTTGCCGCTAGTCCCGTTCGGGTTAGTCAGTCACGAAAACCAAAAGAGACAAACACAACTTATTCCACAGAGCTCCTCTCTCCTCCCTTCTAACCAAGTCTCCCATCATGGCGCCTTTAACTCGATCGGCCGCCGGGTCATTCACACCGGTGAGTTCGTTATCCTTCATCTTGGCTGTTTGTTTATGTGCTAATCCTTTGTGTAGGTTGCCCAGCGCCAAACTGAGGTCATCACCATTGACGATGATTCGCAACAATCTTTCGATGACGATGAAGAATTGGAGGATGAGGAACAAGAATCGGAAGATCAATCGGAAGATCAGTCGGAAGACCAATCGGAAGACCAAGATGAGGACATGGACGGAGATACAGAGGGCGACACCGTATCGGACACCGGGTCCGATATTTCTGATGAGCCGTCTGTCTTTGGCGTGTCGGGCAAATCTCAAGGTTAGCTCAAGATCTATGTCTAGATCGCATTTACTAAACTCTGTCCCAGACACCCCGCTGTTCACCGCGGCAGGCGCCCAGGAGGCACTGCACCCCCTTCGCCGGACAGCTGACCGCGTCACTCGCCAGATCGAAGCATTCGCCGATAAGCTAGATCAGTTCAAGCGCGCCAATTCAACCGACGATTTCAACAGCGCCCAGGCAGCTTACAAGCTTGTACAGAGCTACCGCGACATTGCGAACAATGCGATCAAGGAAATCCAGACCCAACAAATCGTGGACCGGACAAAGACAGGCTTCCGATCGAGCGGGTCGCAAGAGCACAAAAGCTACGAGGAGATACGGCGATTGCAACTTGAGGCCGACACTTGGCGCCTCCTGCTCAACCTGATCAGCATTGACGACCCCTCTAGCCGGGCTAGTTACAAGGCAGGACGACAGACAGCTTTCCAGAACCTTCACCGCTACTCAACCGATCGCGAGATTTGGGAAGAGTTCCTTAATGCTGACCAATATGGCCTTGAGTGCGTGGTTGCAATGCGATGGTTAGAAGAGACATCTAAGACCGGAAGCCAACAGTTTGACACCCTGATCACGGAAATGGAAGAACAATCGCGAAGGGGCCAAGGATTGTGGACAACCGGTTGGCTTTATACCAAAGAATCGATCAAGGGTCACAAACGTCTGCGCGCTTGGCCACAGCCCCTCGAACCCAATGACCCGGGCATCTCGCGCTCGCTTCTGAGCAAAGGCGATCAAAAACCGCTCGTCACTCAGCTCGATCCCGATGCTCTCACTCGTCAGAAGCACGGTTTAGAGAAGGAGGACGAATTCTTCGAGCGCGCCACCTGGATAACTTGCTGGAAGATGCTCAGACAGGGCGAAAACTGGACTAAGATTCGCGAATGGGCAGAGAGTCGTCTGGAAGGATGGAGGGCCGTCAGCATGTGCGGCTCTAGTGTGGATCCCAAGTCAGCAAGTACTCGATACCCATCTGACGATGGCCACACACGTTTGATGAACAGTCGAGCTCAAGATTCATGGCGCACCGCTTGTTCTGCGCTAACACGCGACCCAAATACCGATGAATTTCAGCGAGCAGTCTACGCCCTGCTTTGTGGCGAAACCGATGCTGCAGCCAGCGTCTGCCGCAGCTGGGACGACTTCCTTTACGTGTACTTCAACCGTGTCGTGCTCTCACGCTACCAGGGATTCTGCAAACAATTCCAGCGGAAACTCAGCCACTCCCCCAATACCCCTGTGGCATTCAAGCCGGAACCAGCTGGGCACGCAGAACTTCAAAAGTTCCTTGTATATCTCAAGGGCAACGACCGGGTTAGCGGCGAAGCGCGTAATCCGTTCCGCAACATCCAGGCCACGATTCTCAGCAAAGGCTACGATACATTCTTCACTGCTCTTGCTCAGGCTGTATCTCAAGTCAGCGCCGATAAATACGGGAATACCTCTGTGATTCCAGAGATCGTGCGCAAGCCAGTAGATGAATCTTTCCTCATAGCTGCCGATGACGAAGAAGCTCTCAGAATCGCAGCTCACGTCTACGTTGTGGCTAGTGAAAGGGGATACGCCCGCGTGGATTCCCATTTCGTTGAAACAGCGTCAGTGATCGTGGCTGGGCATATCGCCAACCTGGAAGACAGGGGTCTATTCCATCTTGTCCCACTTTACGTCTCCCTCCTCCCCGCGCCGATGGGACACGAAGTTCTAGCTAAGATTCTTATTGAAATTGTTGACCCACAAGAGAAGATACAACAAGTTCGACTCGCACGGAAACATCATATTAACATGGAAACTGTTCTTGATGTTCAATGGGCGTGGGTGAAAGAACATGTCCCTGCGATTGAACATTCTAGAGGAGTCACTGGCTATTCGAGGGTGCTGCGACGACCTGACGGTTCCCGGACATTAGTGTCACCCAAGACCGACTTGATTGGGAACTCTGTCGCTCCGGAAGATGACAGGATGATTCGCAGTCTAGAGTGGCTTCGCTACATAGATGGACAGTGGGATAAGATTTGCGATCTTGGATCCTGGCTGTATCGAAAGTTCTTCCGTATGTTGTTGTTCCTCCTAGTGTTTGAATCCAACCGAACTGACTTTACTAGTTGCTGATAAGCTTGCCGCTGCTCGCGAGTTGAGTTTCCGTATTCGGTTGGCTGATATCTCGATTGACAAATTCGGATCCGACATCATTTCCATGCCTCCACAAGAAGGGCTACAGACAGAGGCAACTACACCAACTAGCCCCACTAAATCAAAGAGAAACAGTCTCCACCGGCGAAGTCTTTCCGCAAGTCTTTCCGGCTCCAACAACATTGCACTAGTTTCGGCATACTACAGGGCTCATAGAGTTCTAGATCTGGAGAGTCTGGCTCTTGGGTTTGATGCCGTGGAGCAATTCGCACTGGTGCACGAGCAGATGTCCAAGTGAGTTTTCCCTTCCCTATTCGTCTCATTGCCAAAGCTAATCAATCCAGGACCAAACGTCGACGTGACTCGGGTACCTTGCAGAACATGGGTCAAGACATGAACGAATGCGTCAGTATTCTAGAGGAATGGGTTGGAGCAGTGGTCGCTGAAGACTGGCTGCCCATATCTACCGATGGTATGTATTTGATGTTGCGGCATGGGAATCTCAAGACTAATTGGTTCTATAGCCGAGGAAGAAAAAGACTTCGAACACATTCGGACGACCTACATTCCAGAGCTGATTCTCGATTGGCACAACGCCTTGTACTACGCCAGTCACGCCCTCGAGCGGCACGACCTGTTGACATCCTGCATGATTGTGTCTATCTGGGTTGCAAACTACGAGCACATCACTCGTGCCTTTACAAAGTCCCGACGTATGGCCGAGCTTGTGGACGCGCTCGCTTTATCGAGCAAGGCCTTGGTTATCCGGGACTCCAGCCAACGCAAGTCCCCAATGGACCACAACACCTTCGAAAAGGGCCAGGAATTGAAGATCTGGGATGTGACGATCTCCGAAGAAGAAAAGAAGAGGCTTGGGATCGTGTCGTCCGTAAACCGGGAGCAGTAGATCTAGCGGCGATTTGTTCTGTGTACATTAGCATGGGATTTGAGTGGTTTTAGTATTTTAACGGCGAGGCTTGATATGAAGGAAACTGGATCGAACATGGAAGGGGGACAGGTTACTTCATTTTTTCACAGCTACATGTCAATAGGACATCTACGAATGCATCGACATCGTTTGTCAACAATATATCAGCAAGGAAATTAGCTTTAGAGAAACATCTCGTACAACATACAGAGATTGAAGTTAAAGTCAAAGTTCAAGATAAAGTGAGGTCAATGCTTTGAAACCTAACATAGACATGAAAATATGTAGTGACATACTCACGGATAGTTATAAGCATCAACCTATAAACATCAAGCATTTATATACCGAGATCGGTATTCCGTACTAGCTGCAGCAACCGTCCCACAGCCGTGACATTACAAACCAGAGACAAATCCTAGTATCGAATGACAGCGTCCGCCTTACTCACCCATTCACACAGAGCCATCACCGAACCAGAGCTAGGATGGACTCTGCAAAGACACACAATGCCAACACGCCGCCGAGGTACTCAAACCCAGCCTGGTGGTGATATTGGCCTCCGCGGTCCGAATATCATGCAACAAGCCAGCGAGGAGGAAAGTCTTATCGTGGAAGGCCCGGGATTCAAACGGGAACCGGTGGCGTTTGATTGCGAGCCTGAAATGGAATGCTCGTGAGTAGTATGTCTCTTCGGGTGGTGCGTGCGTGCATGGGCGTTGATGCGTTGTGCTAGTGGGGTTTCTGCGATTGGGGTTGCGGAGACTGGGAATATTAAATGGGGTTGGGTGGGGGGAGGTTGGTGCTGGGTATGTTATGTTGTAAGGGCGGCGGTGAGGCCGTATTTGTTGGTTGGGATGCTCCCAACTTTTGAGGCTTCTGGGTTTGATTGGCTTTTGTCGTTTGGGAGGTGGCAAATGGTTGTTGGCATTGGAATTGGGATTGGGATTGGGATTGTTGGTTTAGTTCGGTTCGGGGGGTTTCAGATTCGGTGTTATCTTTTGCTGAACTATATGTTCTATGTGTTACTTAGAGACGGGAAATTATTGAAGTATATATTGTATAACGTACTCCGTAGCTATATGCCGGATTCGGATTTATAGAGCTACACCTACTTTACGTCCATGCGACAGTTCTGAGCTTTGTATCTGAAGCTAATCTAGTACATCGTACTCCGTACTCCATAGTTCATACTCCATACAGAGACTCCATACAGAGTACAACATAGTCAATTGATATGCCGTACGATGCAAGGATCAGTGGTCTGAGTGTGGCGTATGTGGTGTGAGCTGTAATAGCGGGTTATGTCCGTACTTGGCCAAACCAGTTAGGGAGATCTGGTCCGTCAAGTTCCGGGAATCAGAGTTTGATTTTATATTGTAAAGCAATCAAAACAAAAGAAAACAAGTCTTGGACCTGCTACGTCGGACTCCGTACCGGTACGGAGTCCACGGCGATCATATAAATAGGAGACGTCACCACTTTGGCAAGGGCATATTAAAAGACAACTAGCTCGGACACATAAAGGGATGTTTGGGCTTTAATGTACGATGCTGTTCCTTTTATTCCCATTCGATCTCCAGTTATGCAGATTCTCCAAGTTCGTGCCTTGAATACTTTTCTTTATTTTTCGCCGTCCCCCCTAATTTGCCGAATCGGGATTTCGGGCATGTTTTCATGTCTTGGCAAATGAGGCAGTGCAGACGCTATATAGCTTGGTATTGGTGCATCGCTGCGGTATTTGCTCCTTCATAATCCGATTACCCATGGAAATGTCCTGGAAATATTCTCAATGTCATGGAGAATTCCCCTGCCTTCTTATAAGGGTACAATATCACGTCTAGGTCATATATAAAGTAGGGTACATCACATATCTACATCGCATCTGCAGAATCACAGTAGGGGCTGTGCTAGCGGGTCTTCCCCCAAAGTGGAGAAGACAAGAAAAAAGAAGAAAGCCAATACTCCGTACGGAGTAACGAAAGTAAATCAATTGCATTAGGAAGTTCTCGACCGGAGTGGATAGAGGTTTGACTTGACGTCTGTCCGGGGGCGATTATTACCTGGGCTTGCCTCCTATCTTCCAAGCTTGTTTTTACACTTTCACACTTTTCCCACCCTTACCTCATCTTCAACCCTGGACAGTTTAGGAGTTCAGGAGTTTAGGGAGTTATTATCATTCTCTGGACACTTATTCCTCCTGATCCATATGACCCCATATACAAACCCGGGTGCCAACGCGTGAATCGCGCCTTGAATAGACACTCCCATAATGTCCGACCCACGCTCAAAAGATGAGCCCGGCCAATCGTCAACCCTGCGCAGGGAGCGCGCGCCGACTATTACTATCGACACCTCGGCCGTGAACCCCCCGGATAACGAATACACACCTTTACAAATCCGCTCGGGAGGATCACGGATGTACACCGATAACGCACATGCCCCCGATACAACCGCACTGCTGAGCAATGGCAGTCGCAATGGCAGTGCCTCTTCTACGGATATGCATTCCACAGCCTCAATTCGCTCCAATGCATCCTCCGAAGCTCGGGACCGAGAGAGCCGGCCAACCTCACCTCACAACATCTCATCGCCCAAGACGAAGGCGGCCGAGACACATTCCAACTTCCTCTCCGTCCCTGGAACACGCTCGAGAGGCAATTCGTTGGAGTCGGAGGAGACCAACCAAACATCAAGCACCTACGGCGGCGACACATATGTGCCCTCATCATCTCAGGAATCAGCATCTGATTCGCCTAAAAGCCCCGCCACAAACGGCGTTCACGATGAGGATCCCCTGTCCCCAGACCCCGGCCGCGAAGACGAATTTGAGGTCGAGGATAACAAGTTCGCCTTTTCCCCTGGTCAGCTGAACAAGCTTCTCAACCCGAAGAGCTTTGGCGCCTTCCATGCGTTGGGAGGCCTGCGAGGGCTGGAAAAAGGACTCCGAACTGATATAAAAAGTGGCTTGAGTGTGGATGAGACAAACCTGGACGGAACTGTCAGCTTTGACGAGGTGGTCACACCTACCACACCTGCCTCGGGAAAGAACATGCCCAAGTCTGCCTCTCCGACTAAACCACCGCCACCCGCGACCGAGGGTTCCGTCATAACGCAGCACAACGGAGAAAATTTCGTCGATCGCAGACGTATCTACGGCGATAATACGCTTCCAGAGAGGAAATTGAAGACGATCTGGGAGCTAGCATGGATTGCCTACAACGACAAGGTGTTGATCTTATTGACCATTGCGGCTATAGTTTCACTTGCTGTGGGAATTCCGCAATCGCTCCACCCAGCAAATCCCGATGAACCTGGCGTCGAATGGGTCGAAGGTTTGGCCATTCTCGTGGCCATTATTATCGTGGTGGTGGTCGGTGCAGCGAATGACTGGCAAAAGGAACAACAGTTTGCAAAACTCAACAAAAAGAAAGAGAATCGACTGGTCAAGGTAAAACGATCCGGCCGAACCGAGGAAATTTCCGTCCACGACGTCTTGGTTGGCGATGTGATGCTTTTGGAACCCGGCGATATGGTCCCAGTTGATGGAATCTTGATTGATGGCTACGACCTCAAATGCGACGAATCTTCGGCTACGGGCGAGTCTGATGTTCTCCGCAAAACCCCCGGCGATGAAGTGTACAAAACAATGGAACAGAACGAAGATCTGAAGAAGATGGATCCTTTCATCATTTCTGGTGCCAAGGTCTCCGAGGGCGTCGGCACGTTTGTGGTCACTGCTACCGGTACGCACGCTACCCTCGGCCGGACGATGATGTCCCTCCAAGAGGAGGGCGAGACAACGCCTTTGCAAACGAAGCTCAACAAGTTGGCTGAGTACATTGCCAAGCTCGGCCTCGCTTCTGGTTTGTTGCTGTTTGTGGTTCTCTTCATCAAATTTTTGGTTCGTCTTAAGGACATTGAGGGTGGTCCGGACGCCAAGGGTCAAGCATTCCTGCAGATTTTCATTGTTGCTGTCACAATTGTCGTCGTCGCGGTGCCTGAAGGCTTGCCACTGGCTGTCACGCTCGCTCTCGCCTTTGCTACAACCCGAATGCTCAAAGACAACAACTTGGTTCGCTACCTCAAAGCCTGCGAGACTATGGGTAACGCTACCACGATTTGCTCGGACAAAACTGGAACCTTGACGGAGAATAAAATGACTGCAGTGGCTGCGACGTTGGGTACCACGTCTCGGTTCGGCAAGTATTCTGGTGTCTCGACCGATGATCAGAGTGAAATCACTCCCTCGGATTTTGTCTCCAGCCTATCACCGTCGGTGAAGGATGTCCTACTCAAGTCCATTGTCTACAACTCAACCGCATTCGAAGGCGAGACAGATGGAGTCAAGACGTACGTTGGATCCAAGACAGAGACTGCTCTCTTGACTTTCGCTAGGGATTACCTTGGATTGGGGCCCCTTGGCGAAGCGAGAGCAAATGGCAAGGTCGTCCAGATGTTCCCATTCGATTCTGGCCGCAAATGCATGGCAGTCGTGACGCAGCTGGAGAATGGAAAATACCGAATGCTAGTCAAGGGTGCCGCGGAGATTCTATCCCACAAGTCGACCCGTATCGTCCAAGACCCCACTGACACTCTGTCGGAGACTCCTGTTACCGATGAGAACAGGACTGCACTGGACAGCATTATGACCACTTACGCCACCCGCTCTCTCAGATGCATTGCGCTGGTTTACCGTGACTTCGATCAATGGCCGCCTCGTGGAGCCCCTACTTCCGAAACCGATGATACCCAGGCAGTCTTCGAACCTATCTTCAAGGACATGGCAATGTTGGGAATCTTCGGTATTCAGGATCCTGTCCGAGCCGGTGTTGCCGAGGCAGTGTATACATGCCAACGCGCTGGAGTGTTTGTCAGAATGGTGACTGGTGATAACATTATGACCGCCAAGGCCATTGCCCAGGAGTGTGGTATCTACACACCTGGTGGTATCGCCATTGAGGGACCCAAATTCCGCAAGCTGAGCACACGCCAAATGAACCAAATCATCCCAAGACTCCAGGTCATCGCCCGCTCTAGCCCAGAAGACAAGAAGATCCTGGTCAATCAACTCAAGAAGCTTGGAGAGACTGTTGCTGTCACTGGAGATGGTACTAACGACGCCCCTGCCCTCAAGAATGCCGATGTTGGTTTTGCAATGGGTATCACTGGTACCGAAGTTGCGAAGGAGGCCTCTGACATTATTCTCATGGATGACAACTTCTCATCGATTGTTAAGGCTATGGCATGGGGTCGCACCGTCTGTGACGCCGTGAAGAAGTTCCTTCAGTTCCAAATCACTGTCAACATCACCGCCGTCATTCTGACCTTCGTCTCTGCAGTCGCTAGTGATAGTGAGGACTCAGTTCTTAGCGCAGTGCAGTTGCTGTGGGTCAATTTGATCATGGACACTTTTGCCGCTCTCGCTTTGGCGACAGACCCTCCTACAGCAACAGTGCTTGACCGCAGACCCGAGTCGAAATCCGATCCCCTCATCACTCTGACAATGTGGAAGATGATCATTGGACAGTCCATCTACCAGCTGGTTGTAACTTTCGTTTTGAATTTCGCCGGAGATAAGATTTTCTCTTGGGACAGCGGTCATTTGCAGACCGTGGTCTTCAACACTTTCGTGTTTATGCAGATTTTCAACCAGTACAACTCCCGTCGTATTGACAACAAGCTCAACATTTTGGAAGGTATTTTGAGAAACCGTTGGTTCATTGGTATTCAGATCATCATTATTGGAGGTCAAATCTTGATCATCTTCTTTGGTGGCGCTGCTTTCTCCGTCAAGCGTCTTAACGAAGGCTCGCAGTGGGCCGTCAGTCTTGTACTCGGAGCAATCTCCATACCCATCGCTGTGATCATTCGTCTTATTCCGGATGAATTCATCTCGAGACTTATTCCTCACTTCTGGAATCGCAACAAGGGTCCCGCATTGGTCATTTCAGACGAGGATCGCAATTACGAATGGAACCCTGCCCTGGAAGAGATCCGCGATCAGCTCGCCTTCCTCAAGCGCGTCCGCGGTGGCCGTCTGCGACACCTCCGCCACAAGCTGCAGCACCCTCAGGAATTTCTCCCTCGGTCCCGCAGTGGCTCCCGCTCGCGCGATTCCTCCACGCCACCCACGCCGAATGGCGACAATGACCACGACAACGACAACGGCAGCCCACAGCTGACCACCCCAGAGTCTCGTTCCAGACGCAACACACGGTCGCGCTCGAACTCCACGTTCGGACCCGCCGCTGCCATGGCCGGTATCGTTGCCGGCAGTATTGCCGGATGGTCTCCGATCGAGCGAGGCCACGAGGAGCCCGAAGAAGTCACTTTCCCGACCAACGGTGGCCCTCACAGTGGCCTTGATCGCGAGCCAGGCATTGAGATCCACCCAGACACCGCTGCCGATGATCGTATCCTGAACGAGTACTCCCCTGACTCCAAGACACCCCCGAGTCAGAACCCGGATCTGATTCCGTTCTTCGAGCATGCTCCGCCAGACCGCGCGCCCTCTAGCCGTGGCCGTCGGTCCTTGTCTCAGCGATCGAGATCGAGTCTCAGTCAGTCGCACGTCTGAGCTCATCTCCATCTCGCCTTTCTTATATTCTACTCCTTTCTCTCTCTCCTCCCCGATCGACGGGGACATGTTTAATTCATTATGCCCCTATATCCCCTCGTCTCAACTCTGCTCTATTTTCGGTGTCTGGAAATGGGTGATTCGGCGTAACGCTGTTGAAAATTAAGCATAGACTACTTTTGTACTTTTGGGCTTCATACAATCATTTGCATTTGGGTTTGGCGGCCAGGCTGGCCTTTCTCGTTTTGGATATCTCGGCGCATACAAAGGCTTCGGTGCCATCTAGCATTTTCCCTTTTCTTTTTCTTTTACTATACTTGATTGTAAAATGCTAGATCTGAAGATACCACGTTTTTTCCCTCCATTTCTTTCTTAGTAAATTGGTCTACATGCTCTCTAACTAACTAGTTTGTAGTGCAGTCCCGCTCTTATCATGCTTCCTTGAACGTATTCTCACTCCTTCCTCACTTTGTTGACATACAAACGTGCCTTCCTCAAAAGTTTGCCCAACCCCAAAACCGTAGGCGGTATAATTATGCCCAGAATGCAGGTTATATTGAACTATAAGGATGTCTTTTCGCCCTTCGGGGCATATGGTCAAATGAAAATATACAGAGAAGATTAGCATGGCCCCTGCACTAAGGATGACACGCTCAATCAAAGAGAAGCTACCTATTTTTTTTTCTTTTACATGTCCTTTTTTGAGGTTATACAGGTGTGGGTCTTTTTGATAGCGTGTAATTGGTCCTACGCTATTTGGAAGTCACGTGCAATTACAGCCAGTCATGTCGGGTGTTCGAACCCCACAGTGCGCGAAATGCGGGTCTTCAATTATTGGCCTACCATGGTGGAGTATGTATATCACTAGCACTAGTATGTACTCAAATTTGAGGTTAAGGAGAGATTTTTTTTTAAAGAGATTTGGTGAATAAAAATACACAGGGAAAATATTGAATGGGACAGGGTGAGGTCCATCTGGTGGTTGAGAGATTTGCAAATAGAACCCTCACTTGACAAGATATCCTCTTAGTATACAGGAAGCTTGTACGCATCCAAATCATAAGTAAAGCTATCAATCGACTCCTGGTCATAAACACATTGGAACTTCTTGGCATTTGAAGTCCAAAGCGGGCGAAGAGGCCAACGACACATTGTTTCAATCTCGCCAGATCCAGCGAGTGTCGCCGGCGCCGTGCCATTCTCAACCCATTGAATAAGAGTCTGCAGAGTTGTCTGTGGCCATGGCGCACCGGATTGGTAATCGTTGGTGGCACAGTGTCCCACGCCGGGAATGAGGAACAGTCGATAGAAGTCGTCGACAGCGGCGGCACCTTCCTTGTATGACTTGTTGGGGAACATAACCTCCCTAACAGAATTCCAGTAACGAACTGAAGAAGCGGTCGGGATTGAGTAGTCTTGCTCTCCGTGGACGTGGATAACTTTTCCACCGGCGGCTTGGAAGTCCGATAAGTCTGGGTATGTTGTCTGGAGTATATCCCCGTACTTCTTTTGGGAAAGGACCATCCATTCCTTGAGAGTATCGTAGGTCACGCCGTCCAAGCTGGGAATGTTGGACTCCTGCAAAAGATCGATAAATAAGCCAATCCACATGCCACCGAGACTGCTTATGTCGAGCTTCCAGCTGTCGGTGGTCGAATCATATGCGCTCACAAGATCGTCGAAAGTCGAACCAGGCTGGTAGTTGAAGTAAACCCGCTTGCCGTCGGAGTCGTGCAGACCCTTCCAAAAGGCCTTGACGACCTCGATGGCTTTGGCAGATACATTGCCTGTCTGTGCAGGTGTGGCGCTCACGTAGGCAGAGCCGGTGACAGCATCGCACGAGTAAGAAGCGCCCAGGATGGAATCCCAGCTTAGATTCTTCAAACACAAGTCGGAGCGCGATACAATACCGTCCGTCTTGCCATCCAGGGGATCGCAGCTTGCGACAGTCATGTTCATGATCTTCTCAAGCTCACAGCTGGGCGGGTAGTAGTCAAGGGTTTTCTCGATGACGTTGCCGGTCAAATGGTTGGTTTGCTGCTGTGCCCAGCGGAAGGCTGGTGCACCGGCGACTACGCCATCGAACTGCTCGGGGAACCGTTGGACCTGGCTCCATCCGCCACGGCCTCCCTCGGAACAACCCTGATAGTAGGAGTAAACCTTCTCGCTGGACGGCACGTTGTAAATATTTCGCGTGAGCGCTTTGCCCAATACAGCGAGCTCGTGCTGGGCTTGGTAGCCTGTTTCTTATGTTAGCTGGCCTGTGAGCTGTGAGTTTCGGAAGTATGAAGGTATTACCAAACATGTACGTCGCTTGCCAATTGATAGTTCCATTTGCCAAGAGAGCAACGGAACTAAATGCGGCATCGAAGTTTCCTAATCCTCCATCGGTCAATCCGCCAACACTTTATAATGTGTCAGCCAGATCATTCATGCCAAAAGTATGTGAGGAAATACGTACCCGCCAACGATAACTCCAGTAGGGATCGATTGGGATCCCGAGTTAATATACCAGCCACCTCCACCTGTAGATACATATCTGTTTTTGAACTGTGCTGGAGCTGGAAGCCAGTATTGCACATGAACAATATCCCCGTCAATGCCGTCATGGGAGTAGGCGAAAGTCACATTGCAGTAATCAAAGGTCGTGGTAGGGTAGAATATACTGCTGGCAGTGAAGTTGGTGACAAGACTCGTGGAAATGGAAGAGGGATCAACGGTAACGCCCTGGAGTTCATCCACTGGCAACGCCTTCTTCGCATATGCAGTGGTACAGATGTCACTCAGTGAAGTTGTTGTGGCGGCAGCTGAGGCCAGCACAAGCGTAGAGGCCCATAGAGAATACCGCATGATGTTCGCACTCTCTCAACAATGTCGAGGGAGATATAATAGAATCCCAGACAGAAGGAATGGAATCTTTTTATCTATAGCAGCGACAAGCGGCCTTACAACCGGGGCAACCTCGGGGATTGGCATTGGGCTAAATGCTATGCCGCCTCTCTCCACAGACCTGTGGGGAAGCTGGTTTGGTCTCAACTTTCCACGAATACGAATGATTCTCGGATTCTGCAGGAGGTTTGTTCTAACTTGTTCTATTAGAAGCTTGCTACTCCACAAATCTCCACTCCAGGGGTATCGGGTCGGTGACTCCCGAGGTGTATAGGTCAGTCCACCTGTTGACACATTTACTTGTACTGTCGTATACTCACTAGGTTGTTGTAATAGCACCCAGTGTAGCAGATATAAAGCTCTGCAAATGAGAAATCTGACCTATTACCTATCTCGGGTGCCTATGCTCTTTCATTTGTCCAGGATTTCGCAGGATGATGCAGGGTTTCAGTGGATGGACTAGAAAAAGATCGACCACACCCCACAGTAGTCGTATGCCCTATGATACACTAGTTCATAAACGGAAGATATCCCCGAGGCACAAATTGCATGCATATTCTCCCAGGTTTTCATACCGCGCCCGAACCCGAACCCGAACAATCCGAACAGCCTGGCTATCTTGATCAGGATGGACCAGAAAAATCACTCATCAAAGGCCCCAGCGATACTATGACACAATGACCTAGGTGCCCTTAAGATACTCACAACCAAGTCATGCTCCTAGCTGATCCTCTCAACAACCAATCCACACAACGATGCCATCGCGGATTCTGGGTTGACATATGGACGGTGGGTCGGCAGAGGTCATTGTAAGTTCAGTATGGATGAGGGTATTGTGTAGGTGAAAGGAAGATCAACTGAAGAAAAACCAAATGAGATGAGACACGTTTGACGGAGCATATTGGTAGATCGAGAAGAGAAACAGAGCGAGACAGCGTAAATTCAAGGCTCTCAGTGTCTTGACTGTTCTTTCCCGAGGGAAACACTAGATCAACTCTCATTTCCCTTCTTGTGCTTCCTTTGAAAATCTTTGAATCGAACACTTTACGACCTCAAGGTATATTTTCGTCTTGCACCAAACTCGCTTTTGGCCACAATAAAGAAGCGACATATAATAATCGAGTTTCCTATTGACAGACGATATATATTCATTCCTAGTGTATGAACAAAGCCAGAATATCTAGAGAATAGTAGTCAAACCAGAAAAGTAGCTAACTATAAGCCTTAGCTCTTAAATTTGCTTAGAAACCCCGAATCTAGGCAGCCTCATAATAGCAGCTCGAATTCGAAAGCCCCTAGCAGACAGCTACTAGATATATTATAGCACTTGTATATCGGGTGTAACGCGCCATGTTAGCAGTGAAATCTAATCTCACGGAAAGTCAAGCCCTTTTTGACGAATCAGCATTTCTCTTACACTGTTCGCCAACGCCTGGCAAGCTAGGAGAATTCGCCTTCGCGGATCCGCATCACGGATTCCGGCTTGTGGGTCAGAAGAGACAGGAGGAAAGCTTAGCTGGACTTGTAGAAAATGATCTGAGCTAGAGACTCAAGCTACGTAATATCACATAGTTCGGGATCCCATTCGTACAAGTCTTCTGAGGTGAATACAGAAGACCGTGAGAGATGGCGGGATGTGTAACACCATTCACGCCTTCATAGTAGCCTCTATAGAATGTATCAACTTCAACTTGTGCTCATATGGGCTATGAGAGACACCGAGGACAACCGAATAACCGTAGGAACTCTCTATATATAGTAATGAAGTCAAGTCATGAGTGACTTACTAGGAGTAAACATTAACTAATCAGAGCTATTTAAAAGTATCCCTTCCCTCGGACCTTTTTCTCCTAGGGCTAGAGCGAATCATCGAGATCCCCGGGGAAGTATTCGTCCTGCATCAATCACAAGCTACATTTCTCGCGGAACTTGCTCAACGGAGCTTCGGGCTGATCATCCTCCTCCTCTATTTCGGACCCTCCTCCTGAAATCTGAGCATCGTATAGAATCATGAGCTAATAGATACTCCTTGCATCAACAGCATTCCAGAGCATGCATATTCGGAGCTTTCCAGCATGCCACTTACCCCATACAGGAAATGTATCGCGGATCACAGGGGCCGGCGGGACTTTTATTTCATCGTGTGGCTGTCATGCGCCTATCCCTTCCCTTGATGGTATCATGAGATGGTTACCAATCCACCGAATATGTGTGTTGGTGGGTGTCCTTGTGGATGGTCAATATTGCACAGCACGATGAAGCCCCTTCCACTTTGGGATAAAGCTGGGTAGTTCTTTTCTCTCTACAAGGCGATCGATGATCTACAATCTGCTGGGCGTGTTCCTTCACGACTGTATTGCGGTAATGCAAATCTAGTGCTTATCATTGGACACTTATGCAAGCTGCTCGGTTGGTACCTTGATTGCTAAGGAATGCTTATGTATTTAATTCCCCCTCGGGTCGTTACACCGTTTCACTAGGTAGACAGGGTGATGTCAGTGTTCAACGGCCTTGCTATGGTGCACTGGCTGGATATTTTTTCCCTTATATCTATCATTCCATAGCTCTCCCCCCTCCGTCATATTTCATACGAACTACCGATTTCCCTCCTATTTTATGACCGTTGTACAGCTGTGGATCTACGACATCCTATCTATACGCCAGACTCTTTGGCATTTATTTGTCTAGTGGTGGATTTGAATCGAAGGCTTTTGTTTACGAACAGCTTAATCCTTACAAGCCACTTACACATCGAGATATCCGATAATGAAGCTCGAAGATATCGAAAAAGCCGACAGCTCGAGTACTCTCGAGTGTCCGAGCCAGTCTTACCTCGATAAAACCGCCTCGAATAGCTTCTCTAATGACTCCGTCGAAAAGCCTGACCCCGTGCCACAA